AGTCGCAACGCTTAAAACCATTTTTACAGAATGGGATTATTAGAGTGCATGTCTAATTCACATTTAAGTTTCGACTACCTATAGTTTTAACGCGCAAAGATCATATTTTGAATCTATTAGCTGATTATCACCATAAATTGAATTGTCACGCTGGCCCTGAATTGTTGATGTCATCAAGTGATGTTGACATTACTATTATTTATTTATTTTTCGTCAGAATTACTGGATTATTTCTGCACACAACTTAATTCGCAATCGGGTGCACAGATGTATCGCTTGTTTTCGAGTTCGTCCTAGGCCGTCATGCCTGGAAATGGCGGACCTTGGGTCTTTTCGTATAACACAGTCCGTAAAGCCTTGGCCCTTGTGCGCGGCGCGGCGTGTTTCCTTCGGTGTGCGGGGGGAGGGGGGTTGCCTCGCTTTGTGGTTGGCGCCCTTTATGCACACCGATTCAGACTTTGCTGGCCCGTTTAAGCTTACCCTTGGAAGTGTTGTAAGATCCACGAAGGCGTTTGTTTGTACTTTTGTATGTTTTTACAGATAGAGCTCGCACAAATGCAAATTCCTCAACTTGCGTAGATTTTGCATCTGCTTTGTTCTGAATAACAACTTTTTGTTTATTATGGGCGACTTGTCATTGCCTATACTCGCAGCACCTAATTAGCACTTAATTCCTTGCTATTAATATTTACAGTATATCTGTATCTGTCATTGTTATCAGTGGTGAAGCCTCCATAGAAGCCCAGAAGCCGGGCTTGCTTATAAAACTGCTCAATCAATAATATCAACTAATAAAATAACTCGCAAACTGTTTCAAATTTCCTGCTCATGACCTCGTATCATATAATATGTAACGTCAACGGTTGGCAGTTTGCTTTCAATTCGAAATACACTGGACTGTCAAAATTAACGAACGCAAGGAGTTGATTTTGTTGTCTCTCTCGCACGCGTTGACTTTTTACCGGGCTTTCGAGAAGACTATCGCTCCCTTTCTAACCTGTGGTAAAATGTTCTATAATGAAATACAACTACGAAATGTGTATATAGCAATTACTATGGAACCAAAAGCCGTGCTTTGCCCTGAAGTTGGTTAGGAGTGCGTTAGGAGGTAGGAGAGGGTACGGGCGATGCGTTTGCAAGTTCACTTCACATTTCAATGTTTATGTTTGTTTTTGTTGTGTCTGTTAAAAATTTATGCTTTTCCAAAGATTTTAGTGAAATTGGGAGGATAATAGTGTTCCTTGTGATGAATATAAGTGTGTTAAAGTGCTAATCGGAAAGGAAAAGGTAGAATCTTTAAAAATGAAATTTTAGTTCAATAAACATTTCATCACACTTTAATAGGTACAAGACTCTTTAGTTAAGTTTAATTAAGTTTAATTATTCTAGGCGTAATTAAAGGTTTAATGACTCAATACTTATATTATCATATGAGTTAAAAAAATTATTTTGAACTTCAGCATAAAATATGAGATACCTAGGTATAAGTTTAATTTTATAACAAATAATTTTTACAATCTTTTTTTAATGTGAAGCCCAAATTTTAATGTTATAAATTAAATGAATACATTTATTGAGGTTTTTAAAGAATATTTACTTTAGTCATTCAGTTCAGTGTATATAATTTTAATAGCGCCTTCTACTTAATTCTATAGGTGATGTCATTTTATCGAACGAAAATTTATTGATTCTCACGGTGGTACGTAAATATTACGCTAGATGGCACAAACACGCTATCGACTAATTTAATAATTTAATATTTATATTATTCTTCTAAGCATATAATTTAAACAATATAATTTCGATGTTTCACATCTGCCAGGCGTCCCTTTTTTGAATTTTGTACATAGTTTGTTTGTACTTTGTTCATGCGTATTTGATTGTATGTAAATATCTTTTTCTTTCGCTCAAGCAAATCCAAAGGCTCTTTCAAGGCACGAAGGTATGCAATTACTTGTCTAGCGGTAGTACCTATACCTTCTGTGTGCTTTGTTAAACACGTCCTTGACAGCATTGAATATGAAACTAATGAGTGGAGACATATCAAGATTGGTGTATTTTTATAAAACTGCTAAAAACAACAAAACCATATCTTGGGCTTGCTCTAGTTTGGAGCTCTAGCTCCAACGATGACAATCAGTGGCGAAGCTAGCTTTGCGACTGATTGTCATCGCATTGGTAGAGATACGTTTTGCCAGCAACGCTTGAAGCTACTTTATAATTTGGTATTACTATAGATTCACAAAAGTCTTCACTTCTCCATACTTCTGACAATAATAATATGTCAATGTTTGTATCAACTAATAAATGCTCAATTAAGTCTACTTTATTTCCTAAGCTCTGAACGTTTTGGAAAGTTAATATAAAACTGTTAACGAAATGTCTTTTCGGGAATACTACTTTTGGTTATAGGCCCTGTTTCTTGATTTGATGATAGGCAGTTACTTATCGGTAAGGTTTCTTTCTTTTTTGAGACAATTTCAGAGGTTTTAAAATCATTGGCACTGTTTACTACAATTTTGCCACAGTCCCCTTCTTGATATTCTTTTATGTTCTTTATTAGATCAGCGACGTCTTTAAAGATGATTTGCATTACGTAGTCGTTTATCTGGCCTGTGCGCTTATGTAACATGGTATGGTTGTAAATTGTAATCGAGGTTCATGTTGGAGTCGATTAAATATGAGTATTCATATGTCATATTGTCCAAATAAAGGAGGTTATTAAACAGTTCTAGTCTCTTGTTAAATAGGTTTACAAATCTACCACATTTGAATGTCGGCAGACACAAGATAATATTTGTATGTGTTATTTGTAGTAATTTTTCTCGGATGTAGGTAATAAGCTCAAAATAATTAGTTGTGGCCTCAAAATCCTCTTTGCCAATGACTATTATGCAGTAGTCTCTTAAGTAAAAGTTCTGAAGTTTTTTTTCGATGTCTAGTTCGGTCTTATGCCATGATCAGTCAGTAGATAGTGGCATATATCATAGTTGTTTTGTACACATTATGTTGTAATATGTTTCGGGTCTTCATAAATCTGGACGTACTGAGTAGACAAATTTTGTTTGCAGTTTCCTTCACTACTTTGGACTTGTTGTGCATATCAAAATCAGAGTTTATAGGAATTTCGACACTAATCATTGTGGGTAAGTTATTATTTAATAGGCTCTGGCTATTAGTTTTTTTCGGTGAAATATATTGCCTGACTACAGAAAACCGTTCTTTATGGAAGAAGGTAGATGAATGTGAATTAAAGTTGAATAAACTGTCGTCAAAACCAAATTCTAAAGAAGTCGATAAATAGTGGTAACTTAATTCTTTCACCGAAAAAAACTAATAGCCAGACTATTAATATATAATAGTGGTAACTTAATTCTTTCACAGAAAAAAACTAATAGCCAGACTATTAATATATAATAGTGGTAACTTAATTCTTTCACCGAAAAAAAACTAATAGCCAGACTATTAATATATAATAGTGGTAACTTAATTCTTTCACCGAAAAAACCTAATAGCCAGACTATTAGTTTTTTTCGGTGAAAGAATTAAGTTACCACTATTTATCGACTTTTCTTTAGAATTTGGTTTTGGCGTCAGTTTATTCAACTTTAATTCACATTCATCTACTTTCTTCCATAAAGAACGGTTTTCTGTCGTCAGGCAATATATTTCGTTTTTTGCGCTCTTTAGTTTGCACTCTAGGTTTTCTATTTTTGCTAATAATTTTTCAACTGTATATGTGTTTTTTTTTAGTTTTTGGTTCTGATAGGATTTGAGATTCTTTAGTAGGATTGATGCCGTCGACAAGAACTTCTCTTCATTGTTTAATTCCTGAAAAGAATTATCAGTGGGAATATTTACTCGGTTTTTATTGCGGCAGGCGACGTAGTCCTGATCCTGTGTCGAAGTATTTGTTCCTGGCGATGGCAGGGTGTTATTAAGGGGCGTAAACGCATCTAGTATGGACGAATGGGTAGAGCTATTTTGTAACGATACCTGTAATATTGCATTAGTCTATAAGCTTTTTTCGTTTCTGCTGTCATTATTTGCGTTGGAATGATACGTTAGTACAATCGATGTGGTAGTGCTTTTCACAAACTGAACACTTAAGAAATTGCTTATTTACTATGGACTTTTTGCACTTAATGCAATTTAACGCCATCTTTCCGTCAGTACCAGAAATATAGTTAACATGCGTACTAGCAAAGCAATTACGCGGAGTGACGGTTATTATCGGTGCTGGGCGCTAGCTGGTTGCAGGTGGAAATAGTTCATGCAATATACGATAGATGTGGTTGGCTATTTGCGATGTTAGTTTAAGCACTAGGGTCAAAGTCGCGCTTACGTCTTTTATTGATACTACCGTCCATGAAGGTTAGAGAAAGGAGAACGATCACTACGTACTAAAGCATAGCCCGCCTGTCCTCAAAAATTGTATAATTTAGCGGCACTGACGTCGGTGAGTAGTGACTGCGAAGTTAGCTGTTTATGAGTACAAGTAGATGAAGTTAGTCGAATAATGTACAAGTTTTCTCCGCGGCATTAGTGAGAAAATTTTCATGCTCCGTAATTTTGTAATTTTTGACAAAAAGAAACATTAAAAAATGGAAAAATATTTTCATAATAATAACACACGCAATTGAGGGTGGATGTGCAAGTGGTTTAGCATCTGATCGGAAAAATAGACTGAAAATGACTTTTATTGACCGAACTTAGTGATCGTAGCGCCTCACTTATGGTGTCCATATTTCGTGACACTAATTTTCTACGGCGATCGTTCTCCTGTTCTCTAACCTTCATGCTACCGTCTATTGTAAATCAATCCACAGATACCCTCAACTCAAGAGAATCTTGATGTTGTTTATGAACTGTCACCGCAAGGAGGTGGTCGCCCTGTCATATTAGTGTTTTGTGCCTGTTAGTGTCATTGCGTGTGTTGCTCGCTACCGTGTCAGACGAAATTTAAGTTGTGCTGCAAAAATACTACAGTTTTATTCGAAATGAGTGGTAAGGCTGATTCCCCACAGCATATTTGGGAAAAGGATGTGAATGTTACGGATACGATTGAGGACGAGCCGGACTCATCTTCGTCAAGTTTATCGTCTCCATCTCGGTCCGAACGTGGAAGGACTGCTTTCAAAAGAAGAAATGTAAAAGAAGACCCACGCTCAGGCTCTCAAAAACCAGGTAGAATTTTTATCAAATATTTATATGCAGAGTCTCGGCAGCTCGCAATAACCTACAAGATGTTAATACCTATACTTGTGATAACTTTCTTACTATATCAAAAGAAAATCCCATGCTTGATCTAGGTTCAATAGCCATCAATATTGATGGAAGTAAAATAATAAAACCAGCCCTTCCGGAGAGGGTTGAAAAGATAAAGACATTGCAACATTTTGGCCTACTCACATGGCAAAATATAAGATATTTCAAGATTCTACAGTCTTTTGTAGATACCCCAGGGTTTATACTCAACTGAGGGTAAATGATGAATTATGCCATCTGAGCAAATCGAAAGATTACTTTTCGGATTACTTATCGGGTACTAAAAGTGTAATGGCAGCATTGTCAAATGCTGTTTTTGAAAGCAATGAATTACTCCGAGCATGTTTATACAGTTAGTTGTGGATTGGGCTGCGAAATCCCCAGAGGAATTAAATGCACCAGCACTTGCGCAAAATATAAGCTCTGCTAATGATAGAATCAGGCGTTACTTTGCAAATTTCTTTGCAACTTTCCGCTAAACATGTTTAGCGGAAAGTTGCAAAGAAATTTATATTTTTATTTTTTATTATAAGCTCTGCTATTGAGAAGGGTACAGCATTTAATAAAAATTCTGAAGATATCTTACGGGTTTTATGTGGTAAAAGAGCTGAATGCATTGAAACTAGAAGGGAAAGATTAATTAAAGAAGTGCCTAAATGTATTCATTTAGCCCTGAGAAATATTTATCCATCTGAAAGTGTCTTATTTGACCAATCTAAATTAAATACCCTTATTCAAAATTTTGGTGGCCCTACACAGTGGATAAAGTCACTTACTTTTAAAGAAATTAAGAATAGTCAGGGTTTGGCTTTTAAAAGGAAAGGATCGGATTCTTCTCTTTACCCTTCCATTAGTACGACTCCTAAGAAAACAAAGTTAGAATTTCCCCTGAGAACTACTAATTACCAAAATTATAATTCGCATTATCAAAACGGCCCTTCCAGAGGCAATGGAAAAGGTAAAAACATAGGTAAAAAATCGTCCTTTCGCTCCCTTGACAGAGATAAACAATGACTCAGAGCGGGAATTCAGGGGGGGGGTCAATTAAAGGACTTCAGAGACCAATGGGAGCAGCTCGGAGCTTCTCCCTTTATTCTAAAAGCAATATCAGGGTCTCTGATTCCTTTTATTCGGAGACCTGTACTGAGGTACCCCTCACCAACAGTAGCTCGGAGCTATGCAACAAAAGCTTCATCCCAGATGACTGTACAGGTAAACGAACTGAAACGTATTGGAGTTCTAGAAAAGCTTTCTTCTTTGACTCCCGGTTTCGTCTCCCGCATGTTTCTTGTAAAAAGAGCGATGGTGGCTGGAGACCAATTTTCGACCTACGAAACTTGAACAAGTTTGTAGGAACAAAACATTTTCATCTTATAAGCCATACCAAGGTACCAGAATTCCTTCAACCTGGAGATTGGATGGTGAAAGTCGATATTTCACAGGCATATTTCCACTTACCTATAGCAATGTCACACCGACCTTTGTACAATCAAGAAATGCTTCAAATGACCTCGCTCCCATTTGGCCTATCGTCGGCCCCTAGGCTCTTCTCTGCTGTAACTTGTTGGGTCGCGGAAACCCTACGCAAAAAAGGAATGCGGGTCCTAGTATACCTGGACGATTATCTTATAGTGTATCAGGACCCTTCAAGTTAGCATCACAGACTACGGAGGTGGTGAAGCACTTGGATTTCCTGGGCTGGCAAGTGAATCTCAAAAAATCAATACTGACCCTAATGAGATCACTCGAATTTCTAGGCATAAAATGGAATACAGACAAAAATGTAAAAAGTCTTCCTGCCAAAAAACAAACGTCAATCCAGACTTCAATAACGAAAATATTATCAACGAAATCTTGCCACCTTCGGCAATTACAATGCCTTCTGGGCCAACTAAATTTTGCATGTTATGTAATACTTCGCGGTCGACTTCACTGTCTCCGTTTACAAATGTTTATAGAACGATTCCAGGGGAATCGGGTAAGAACAAAAAAAAACCAGTTCCTCAGGGGGCAATACTGGATTTACAATGGTGGCAGGGAGTTCTATCATTGACAACGCCAATTCACACAAAAAGTGTATCGCACTTTTTGACTACAGACGCCTCCAACATCGGATGTGGTGCTGTTCTGGACAAACAGACCATGTCAGGTTCATGGGCACTTTACCAGCGGCCTTGGCAATGCAACAAAAAAGAGATGTTTGCCGTACTGTCTGTAATGAGACAGAACGTAAAGAAGCTCAGAGACTCTCATGTGCTCTTAGAAACAGACAATAAAACTGTTATGGCATACATTCTCAAAGAAGGAGGAACTCATTCTATAGGACTCGTATCTCTAACCTTTCTACTTCTGAAGATCATAGACAAGAGGAACATAACACTTTCAGCCCAATATCTCCCCGGCAGATACAATGCGATAGCGGACAGACTGTTGCGGAGACGTCCTGTACCAGAATGGCATTTATAAATCAGGCAACATCAGAGGTGTTCAGGTTCTAAATCGTTGATTAGGATCTCTTGCAATCTATCATTCAAGGTTATGTTTTTCTTTTCATGCCTTCACGATATTTACTGTAGAGATTTGAATTTCGGTAGACGTTTTCTCGAAAGATTCGGAGCTTTAGCAAATTTTTGTTCCCACTTACGTATACGTAAATTATCTAAAGCCCAATTTGAACTTGTGGATGGAGCTAAATTTTCACTAATATTCATTGGTTCTGGTTCTAGATTGTTAATATCTTTACGAAGTTTAGAAAATACCAGTGAAGTAATAATTGTAAACATTTTTCGTTTTATGTAAAATATTATTATTTAATAGTTCTCAGCCAGTTATTTTTAAAAGTGCTTACACTATTCGCACAATCAATTTTTTACTTCCTGTGGGGGGCGAAGAATCCATAATCTCCTTTGATTCTTAAAACATCAATCATATTTGTAGTTTCTAAACGGATGTAATAATAACTCTACGGCGGTTGACCGCTAAGTATTTACTTACTTAACTTACGTAACTTAGCAGTCAGCCGCCGTAGAATCAACATCACCTGAAGATGTCTTGTGTAGAGGTGAAACACGTGTAGTATTATCGTCGATGGTGTGTCTTTCCTAGAATACTGTTGTTGGGAGTAGTGGCGTTAGGAGTAGTGGTGCTGGGATTGGTGGTGACGGGATTACTGCACGCAATTGAGGGAGGGCGGGAGATGCTTTTCTTTTACTTCAACAACAATTCACCGATCTTAAGTTTACAAAACACTTTTTTCGCACTTAAACTAACTTGTAAACTCCTTAGATCGCTACGAACTGTCAAAGTCAAGTTCAGAAACAAAAAAAAACCGGCACGGAGAAAGGGACAAACAATCACACCGCTCTGTCTCATTTCTATGCAAGACGTATGCAACACCACTACTCCCGGCACCACTACTTCCAACACCACTATTCCAGGTAAGACACACCATCGACGACAATACGACACGTGTTTCGCCTCTACACGAGGCATCCTCAGGTAATGTAGACTCTGAGAAATGTAAGATTTTTTTTTTATAGAATAGGGTGACAAACGAGCACACAGTCCATCTGATGGTAAGTGGCCGCTGCGGCACATAGACATCTACATCTATCCTCCATTAAAAATCAAAATGCAGATGCGTTGTCACCCGTGAGGACTGAGATGGAATGCCTCGTTTCCAGTAAAAAGGGTCTCCGGTTCTCTACACTCACCATACGAAATACAGCAGCATTAAGCTACTATTTCATGCTGGTATTCTGTGAGAGCGTGGTCCTTCCCCGGTCGAGCCGACCCATTCGTGCTACAACTATACTACTAATATAACTGCAGCATGGCTCTACCACGTAAAAACATGTAGGCAACAGTATCTTCGTGATATCAATTCAAAATAATAAAAAATTACGGTTGCCAAACCACTTGCTAAGAGAAGCAGCAGTGGACTTTTGATTAGCTATAATTAGTTAATGAACGATGAATAATATCTTGTGGGAGCAGAGAGAAAACGGGTAATACGTTCGCAATCGATTTATCGGTAGTTGTGACCTAGCGACAGTAGAGAAGGCAGACTGCGGTTGTGCCACTGTTATGTAACTATACTACTTTATGTGGTAAAGCCATGCTGCAGCTATAATGGTAGCCACACACGGTCAGTCAACTGATCATTCGAACTAATCAGTCAAAACTAGGAATGTTGATATTTTTTAAAATATAGGATTTTCGATACATCGATGATTATAATTATATTTTTTTGTTTATTAAGGACAACAAACAGTTGTATAATAAAAATTACAACTCAAATCTTATGTAATTGTGTGTATCTAGAAGTGTGTAATAGATAAACTAATTACACAACTAACACCGTTATCCATAAAATTACTATACTAATTAAAGTTATAAGGCACAGAGAACACAAATATAAAATAAAATAACTAACAAAAAATAAAAACTAAAAACAAGAGGCAACAATGCATACTTAACAGTTAACAGCAAAGTCGTGAATATTACACATGTATTACGTAAAAAAATAAAAATATTAGATTAACGTTATAAGATTATAAGAAAATAGTAATAAAGATAAAAATAAAAATTATAAGTCATCATATCAGTATTGGAGTTTTATATACAGGCTATTCCATTAATAACCTACTTCATATATAACTATATATCGAAAACCCGATATTTTAAAAAATATCAACATTCCTAGTTTGAACTGATCAGTTGGAATGATCAGTTGAACTGACCGTGTGTGTCGTCCATAGTAATTGTATTACGAATGGGTTGGCTCAACCGGGGAAGGCCACGCTCTCACAGAATACCAGCGTAAAATAGCAGCTTAAGGATGTTGTGTAGAGTGTAGAGAACCGGTGATCCTTTTACTAGAGGCGAGGCATTCCATCTTAGTCTTTGACAACGCATCGGCATTTTATTTTAAATCTAGAATTAATGTAGATGTCTATGGCCCACAGCATAGAATTACCATCAGGAGGACTCTGTGCTCGTTCGGCACCCTTATTTATGTTAAAAATCTGTCGTAGCAGTTCCTTCTGTGTACGTCCCGTGTCACAAACTAAGTGTCGATTAAACAAACATAGTTATTATTTATTCCTTGTAAAAGCCGTACTATCTAAGGATAATTTGGCAGAAATAAACTGACTGACTTGAAATAGATTTCATAGTGAACTTTTCACGATGTATTTTTAATTATACAACTGTAGTACGAAATTCTGCATTATTCACCTACGTTTTGTTCTAAGATGTCAGGTGAAACTTCCATAAACTTTCATTGATATAAATAAGTATTACGAACAGGAATAATAAAAATCCTTAATGTTATTCAGTCATAGACTAAATGAATTTATCGACAACGTTTTTGTTTCACTAATGGTTCATCAATAGAAAAGTTTCTTAATGGTCTATGCGCCCAAGTCATTTACGTTTTTATTTATGTGTCACTTATTTGTTTTGTTCGTGTTCGAGTGATGTCTATGGAATGGAAAAACGGTAACCACCTTGTAAAAAAAGAAGGTGAGAATAATATAGCTGTTATTTTTTACTATGTTAAACGTCATATGTTTAAGACTTCAGCTATAAGAATTTTGTTCCTATTTTAGGGCTCCCTCTATGCTTGTCATTACTCTGAGTATGTATGTAATTACTCTAAGCTGAGGAGTTTTGGCGGGAACTTGGCCGTAGACGGATTGTCGCTCCTGTTTTGTCGCTTGTATAATGGTTTGAAGTGGATTTTGATTCATAAAAGAGATGCGATTTTGTGAATTAAGTGTCCGTGCGTGTAAACTAATAGAGAAAACAACGAAACAAGTGCTTTGATGTCGATATAAACCTCAAGTTATTTTACTCGAACTTGAGTAGCTGTCTTCGTCAACTGTCCGCTAGGTTGAGCTGTCGTAAAAATCTCTCAAGGGCTTCGCAATGTGACGCATCAGCAAATTGTGAAGAAAAAGAATGTAAAATGAAGATTGCAAAAAAAATGATATGCTCAGAAGGGCTAGACCCCAGAGCCGTAAAGCCAGTTAATAAAAAACTCTAAGCTGACAAGTGCTGACAAGTGTGAACAAGTGACAAGTGACAATCACAAATCACAATAATTTTATTCATGGAGGTTTTATTTATAATTTGTTTTGTGCAGTTCAATGCATAGCTTTAATGTCTGCTGAAGAATCTTCCTTACGAAATAGTTTCATTTTGGTAAACATTTTACAAAATGCTAATATTCTTTGTTTTGTGTAATATTGTGTACATTCCATTTTATATTAATGGATTAAACATAACTTCGGAGCACAGTGTTAAATCAGTCAAAAATATTTTAAACGCATCTTTTTACGAAGATTACAACAAAACTAAAATAAATTTAGTAAGCGAAGGAGGTGCTCTAACACCTAACGCAGCGGCTGATATTGTGCAGCTTCCAAAAGATAAACATAATATTCTTTTGAACTTGGATAATGAAATAGATAAAAATAAAGAGAAATCTGTTGTAGCACGAAAGGGAGTAGTGTACAGTTCTGTAGAAGATAGTCAGATCCTAGGGAATGGTGGTAACAAAGAATTTAGTAACACATCTAATGCATACAAAGATATTAAAAGTTCTAAAGAATACACTTATGATTTTAAAAATATTTCATTACCTGTGAAGTCGATAAATACTACAGATAAATCACTAGAAACTGTTGCAGAGAAAAATACTCATGCGCCTAAAAAGCCGTCAGTTTTATCTAGTGAAGCACTAGATCAGATAACTTTAATTGTTTCTGATCAGACATTTTCCAAAAATGGTCATAATATTAAGACTCCAAAGAAACCTCACAGTCATCCTGATATGATAATGCCAATTGTAATTACAATGCTGGTAGTGCCTATGTTTGCAGTAATAGGTTATTTGGCACTGAAGAAAGGTCAGGAAGCTTGGAAAAATAGGCATTATAAAAGAATGGACTTCTTACTGGATGGGATGTATAATGATTGATTATTTTAATGATACTAAATGTGAAAAGTTAGTGCCCTTAAAAAAGCAATAAGATATTTTGTAATTTATTTTTAAATAGTATTACAATAAAAACATTATAATTGTGAAAATAGATATGATGCAGAATGCAATAAAAATTGGTATTTAAATTAAGAAACAAGTATTAAAAAGAAATGTTTGATGTGATATGGCACAATACTTGAAAAGAAAACTTGTACTATTGTGATTCAGAATCTTTTATCTTGGAAAAATTTAACTTACAAGTGATATAGTTTTTGTGGTAATAATGTGCCTTTTGATATTAGTATACACATATATTCATAATTAAAAATATTTTAAGTCTTCCTTTATACTATTATATTTATATAAATGTTGTTGTGATATATACTCAAAGTTTTACCTAATGTGTTAATATATATAATATTTATAGTATTCTTGATACTGTTTATATTTAGCAAAGTAATTTTTTTTTAATAAATTTACCTTATTGTTGATTGGTTTTGTTGATAAATCACTAGGGTTAGGAACCTTCTATCATTTTGTAAAGTTGTTAGCCACATGAAATATTGTGACCTATTGAAATAATACTAGTTTTTACGGAATTTATCGCGTATATTTAACTTTTTAAATACCCGGCACTCATGGTCGCGGGCGGGACTGAGATGTTCAACGTCCATATGTCATAGTTAACCGCGGTTACCATAGATTAAAATTTAACTTTTGTTCCGATCTATACAGTATGAACTTATGGTATCTTGAAGTCTAGCAGTTGTATGCTTGGGTTGGGATTTAATTTTATTTATTATAGGATCCCAAGCAGATGGTAGGACCCAGCCATCTTCTCTATTGAAATTAGGATGTTTTTTGATTTCAATAGCCTCGTGAATCATCCTTGGAAGGAATCGGTGATCTTTAGCAAGATTTGCGGTCTATCAAATCTGATGTAGTGACGGGGGTGATCCTGTATGTGTTCACAGACTGCAGACTTCCCGGAGCGTCGATTCTTCACATCAGCTATATGTTCTTTAACGCGGGTTTTTATTGATCTTTTAGTTTGTCCTATGTAGAAGAGACCACATTCATAATCAAGCTTGTACACTCCTGCATCTTGCAGAGGGACATTACACTTGACTGATGGTAAAAACTGACCAATCTTCTTCAGCGGCTTGAAGTATGTTTTGATGGAAGCGCGCTTCAAGAGGTAGCCAATCTTGTCAGTGACTCCTCTAACATATGGCAGTACAGCAGGTACACGCTCGACTGTGGCCGGCTTCACTCGTTCACTGTGACGTAGGCGCGGGACTCGAAGCTTGTTGTCATGCAAAACTTGCTTGACATGGTGGAGCTCGGCAGCCAGGTGTTTACTGTCACAGATCCCTCGTGCTCTCTGAAACAAAGATTTACCCACGGTAGCTAACTGTAAAGGATGGTGGTGAGAATCACCGTTTAAATATCTATCTGTATGGGTCTTTTTTCTATACACAGTATGGCTCAAGGTGTTATCAGGATTCCGAATTACTAACACATCTAGAAAAGCTAAGGAATTGTTTGCCTCTAACTCCATTGTGAACTGAATTTTAGAATTTATAGAGTTAAGATGGTCTAAAAATGCAGTTACTTTATCTAAAGGTAGAATTGTGAAAGTGTCGTCTACGTACCGCTTGTAGAATCTTGGATTTATGGGAGAACTAAGCAGGGCTTTCTCCTCAAAGTCTTCCATGAATATGTCGGCGACAATGGGAGATACAGGTGAGCCCATCGCCACACCGTCTACTTGCTTGTAGAACTCCTCCTTCCACAATAGGTAGCCAGATGTAAGGCAGTGTCTGAGTAATACTGCATATTCTACGGACATGTTTTCTTCCAGCCTTTTAGTTACAATTGAGATGCAGTCTTCAACAGGTAAGCATGTAAACAATGACTGCACATCAAAACTGACCATAGTTTCATTGTCTGTATAGATCGGGACAAAAGTTAAATTTTAATCTATGGTAACCGCGGTTAACTATGACATATGGACGTTGAACATCTCAGTCCCTCCCGTGACCATGAGTGCTGTAAAGCGTTCGAAACGTCGGGTATTTAAAAAGTTAAATATACGCGATAAATTCCGTAAAAACTAGTATTATTTCAATGTGTAGTGTTCGCGTAAATATAAGAAATCATTATTGTGACCTATGTTTCATATTATAAAAATGCTTGGCAGCTAGTGTATTCTGTAAAAGGCCTGTGCCTATATTGTAGAAATTATTTTCTATGATTGCCATGCTTAATAGGGAAGAAAGGTTCTCGACTGATTGGTAAAGTTTAGGGTAGCCTCACACTAAATGGGAGTGAAGTAAGAGTTGCATGTTTCTCAAAATCGTGTTTTGCGGCATTTATTGTAGGAGGCTCATACCCAGTAGTGGAATTGTGAAGGACTTTATTGATGATTATGAACAAGTTACTGATGGATAGCAAATCTATGTTGCAGAAGTGAGTGATAGAGTCAGGAATGGACACCCCAGACGAATGTTTATTAACCAAATTGACCATATGCTGAAGAAGAGCCAGATCAAGAGTACCTTTATCCGATGGGCGTGTATGCATAGATATATGGGTGTAAAGGAGGCAAGAAATATGTGTCAGGATCATGCTAAATGCAAGTCTGTAGTCTCTGCTTACCCCTCTGGGTGACAGGCGTGAGTGTTTATGATATCATCATCATTACAGCCCTTCACATGTCCACTGCTGAACAAAGGCCTTCGCAGAGAAATGCCACAAAGCAGTCCTGAGCCGCCTGTGTCCATCGACTTCCTGCATGTCTTACCAGGTTGTCACTCCATCTATTGGGGGTTCGCCATAGACTTTGCCTACCGGTACAACGCTGCCACTCGAGAACCTTTTTTCCCGAACGGTTGTTGGTTCTCCGAGCTATATGGCCGGCCCATTGCCACTTCAGCTTGCTAATTTGTTGGGCTACGTCGGTCACTCTGGTTCTGCTGCGGATTTCCTCATTTCTAAGTTTATCACACAGAGAAACCCCGAGCATAGCACTCTCCATAGCTCGCTGAGCGACCTTGAGCGTCCTCATACGACCAGCAGTGAAGGACCATGTCACAGATCCATAGGTCATCAATGATAATACGCACTAGTTGTACAATCTAGTTTTGAGATTTTGTGGTATAGCTAACTAGAAGATGTGTCGTAATTTCCCGAACGCTGTCCAGCCGAGTTGAATTCGTCGATTGACCTCTCGGCCTAAGTTGGACTTACCTAGTCGGACTATTTGTCCTAGGTAAAAGTACTCGTCAATAACTTCGAGCTTAGTGCTCCCAACAACTACCGGCATAGGTTTGACATGGACGTTACACATTGTCTTTGTTTTGTCCATGTTCATCTTAAGACCTATCTGTTGGTAGGCACTATTGAGGTCATTGAGCATACTGCCTAGGTCCTCCAGCGACTCCGCCATAAGGACTATATCGAAGGTGAGCGATGTACTCACCATTGATGTTAATACCGTGTCTTTCCAGTCCAGTAGCTTTAAAACGTCTTCCAATGTAGCGGTGAAAAGTTTCGGGGATATTACGTCACACTGTTTTACACCTCCCTGCAGTTGGATAAGTTTCGTACTCTTCGGTCTTCTGTACAATTTGCCGAAGGGTATCTATGTGGTCTATTGTGCTGAAGCCTTTTCAGAAACCGGCTTGTTCGGGAGGCTGGAAGTCGTCGAGTTTGCATGCGAAACGATTCGTAATGACTCTCTAAAACAGAAAGTAAACGCGACTCAGAAGGGATGTCGGTCTGTAGTTCTTTAAGAAAGCGTCGTCACCTTTCTTGAAGAACAAGAACGCCGCACTTCTTATCCACGCCTCCATGGAGAACGGAATTAAAGAGCGTCTGAAGGACTGTAAGTACCGGTTTTCCACCCGCTTTCAGATGTTCCGCTGTAATTCCACCCTCTGTGTGCTGGAGAGCCATTCTTATCTAGCTCAGACTGACGTCCGGGATTTCATCGGAATAGTGTTGGATAAGACTTGCTCTTTGATCGTTACTCACACTTGCGTGTGGTTCCAACTATGACGTGTACAGCTGCCCATAGAATCTCTCAATCTCACTCAAAATCTTAGGTGTCCCGGAAACGATGCTACCAAAGTCGGTGTTCAACTTCGACAGTTGGCTCTTTCTGGCATACAAACTCTGGCAAAGACTTTGGAGCCCTGGTTCCGCTCAATCGCTTCTTCAATACGAGCTGTATTGAAGTTGCGTAAGTCCCGCCGCATGTGTTTGATCTGTCTGTTCAGTTTCCTGTATGCTGCCAAATCTGCTTAAGACTGCAGCTTCATTTCCCGTCTAACAGCCATAAGCTAATCTTATGATTAGCTTATGTGTGTGATCGGATATGAGTGTGATCGGAGCTTGTCATTTCATATCGTCTACTGTATTGCAGTCTTCTAGGCATTGAAAACGGTGTTATAATTCGAGCTCTGAAAGGTTTCGGGATTTTGAATTAGAGCACGAGGGGGACGGAGTTGATTTCATAAGACGAGATCTCTCCAATCGAACGTTTAGGTTCAGTTTGCCTTCAACCATTTGGTGATCGCTGTCAGTTTTGCACCAAAGTCAATTTCATTTTTTGTCGAATCGTCGGGGCTCGACCAGGTCCACTTCCTATGGGCCGCTTCTGGAAGAAAGAGTTCGTTATAAAGATTTTTTTACGTGGTAGAGCCAGGCTGTAGTTATATTAGTAGTATAGTTGTAGCACGAATGGGTCGGCTCGACCGGGGAAGGATCACGCTCTCACAGAATACCAGCGTCAAATAGTAGCTTAATGCTGCTGTGTTTCGTATGGTGAGTGTAGAGAACCGGAGACCCTTTTTACTGGAAACGAGGCATGCCATCTAAGTCGTCACGGATGACAACGCATCTGCATTTTGATTCGTAATCGAGGATAGATGTAGATGTCGATGTGTGATGGGCCACAGCAACCACTTACCATCAGGTGGACTGTGTGCTCGTTTGTCATCCTATCCTATATAAAAAAGTCCTTTCTCCATTAAGTCGGCCACCTGCTGGCCCCTTGGGTTTCGTTGCCCTATTCCAAATTTCCCCACCTTCAGCTCACCGCTTTCTCCTGTACCTAGTTTTGTGTTGAAGTCGCTCATCAACACCGTATAGTGGGTTTTGGAGGAATGCATGGCTCTAGAGATATCCTCATACATTTCCTCCACCTTCTCATCGAAATGTGCCGAGGTTGGTGCGTAAACCTGTATGACCTTCAGGGAATACCGTTTGGTGATTCCGATTATCAGGTACGCAACCCTCGTCGACACATTCCAACCTTTACAACGTTGTTGACGAGAGACTTGTGGACGATAAATCCGACACCTCATTGGGACAGATGGAACCCTCCCGGTGATAGAACAAGTTGCCGGATTCAAGGATTTCCGTGTACTCCCCCTCTCTTCAGACCTCGGATAATCCTATAATATGCCAGCGCAACTTGTCTACCTCTTCTGCCAGCTCCAAGATCTTCTCGTCAGTCCTCAGTGCGTGCGTTGTAAGTTGTCAGGTCGAGTCGTCGTAGGTGGCAACCCACAGACCACCCAGCTTACGAGACATGAAACCATTACGATTTTCCAATTAAATTAGTCTGTCAAGGTTAAAGAAAGAAAGGTGTGCGGGCTGCGCGTGAGACGTAACTTAGAGATGTTTCACATCCATATATCGTACGTGTAAATATGGGAGACTATGAAAACGTAACATAGTTATAAAGAAATGAATGATACTGAATACGCAAAATACACCGTTAAATACATGAAAAGTTCTTTAGAATATATACATGTATTTTACATGTCATTTATAACGCTAATCGCTTACCATAAATCCGTTAAGAGCGGAATGTGCCTAAGAAATACATAAACGTAATACATACTCTCGAAAACCATGACTTTGCTTCGGCCTCGGCCGCGACAGTCAGGTCAGTAAAATTACCTTTATTTTTTATTAATTAATTAGGGTTTGTAAAACTATAATTTCGATTTCAAATTATAATTACATATAGATGTATGTTCGTCTACACAAAAAATAATAAGTCAGTAAATAGTCGATAAACTTGCATCGATACTTTTTTTGGGCATTTCTACTTACAAGTGCTGCCTGCAGCCCCTCTGATTAATAGATAGAGACGCTACTACGATACTGCGTGCTTGAGAAGGACAGCCTCAGAACTACGACCACAACACGTTGAACCCTCATGGTTTTAGTATTTTAAGATTATTAAATGTTGCACTTACCGGTGAAACGTGACCTTATCCTTCGTGAAATTATGTTTCCTGCTATCACTACCACAACACTTTACTGGGCAAGTAGGCATGTTTTACTGTTTTTTTTTTATTTAAAAAAATTGTAGTATTGCTAAGGACGCAGTGCACAGGTCTGTTGTCTAGTCACTACCAAACAGGCGTTCGTGTTCAACTATATAGGCTCTGGTTGAGCAGATGAAGTACAGAAATTGGTCGTCTTTGTTACATGTCTCGTAGGCTAGGTGGTCTGTGTGGTAGCCAAACCTCTACCAGAGATTCTTAGCACCCCCTGCCCCGTCGTTACCATTGTCACCACCGTAGCCAGGAATAGCGGGGCCGCCGGGGACTGGGAGCCATTTGTTTGTGTCGTTGCTCATGGAGGGATGTTCGCCATAGTTCCCACGCTTGGCGAGTAGGTTGGCAACCGCAGATTTTTATTGTATAATTGCTGTCAACATGAAGATGCTGCTGCTCAACTCCTGCCTGCCTCCCTCTGTCGCCTCTTACGATACCCACGGTTCGATATGGGATAGTGAATATTCTGATCGCCACTATTGATATGATGTTTTCAAAATTTGAAGATTCTTGGCAAGGATTGCATGTCTTATACTTAGAATCATTAAATTTATAGGAGATAGTTGTGGATTATAGCCAGGGGTAGATTAAATGTCGACAGCGCTCTAGGCTCTGGGCTTTTACACCATCGGTGCCTCTTTGGCAGTCAAATATAAATTTAAATTGCTTATTTTTTAATTAAACTTTATTATAATTTAAACTTTGGAAGGAAAAAGGGAGATCTCCCGCTGGGCAAGGTGGTCAGCCCGCAGAGCGACTGTTGCTTCGTGTGGTATCTATATTATAGTATTTTATGATGTTAGTGATGTTAGCCTTTTTGTCTTTTACACCTTCATCTGCTGGTGATTCAGGGCTTGCAGTCTGTAAGGCCGCGAGCTACTTAAAAAGGGAAAGGCGATAATCATGACGATAATAATTTATGATTTGGTTCGTTACAAATCATCAAGGTACTGTAGTACTCTGTAGATTTTTACTACTATTTCACATTTTTAAATATAGTATTAATAAAATCTTGCATTTCATAGTGCAATGCTTCAAAGACTGCACTTTAAAAAAATTGCATGAATAAAATCATTTCTTCGTCATTATTAGGATAAAAAGGTCCTTAAAACGTAGAACCGACTTTCGGTGTTAAATTATTTTTAGATTTATGTAATATTAATTATTTAATAATGATTATAAGTAAGGTGGGTGGACCATGGAAAGCCATGCTCCTTCGAAGGCCAATTATTAAAATGTGGTAGTTATTGCCATGTGTTGACAAATTTCTTCTACTAACACAAACATCCATCGAACTGAAAATCACACACGCGGCGGCGAATCGCTCGCACTACTATTTTGGCAGTACGGTCCCTCGCTTCATTGATTTCGGGAATCGACGACGTTAAAATAAGATGGGTGTACCATCGAAGGCCACTCTAACAAATAAACAGTTATTATTCGTTTATTTACTAGATAAATGAAACTAAGAAATATTTAACCCTTAAATGGACGATTTTTTTTTACGTTTTAAAAAAATATATTTGTATAATAGACATGTATTACTGTCTAGGAAAAATGAGTAAAAAAATCTAGACATGAATTTACTATTTTTTTTTTGCAATAATGTGAGTGTTGTTTATAAACTACATTGCGCATTCAATGACATTTTGCAAGTATGGGTAAAATAAGAGTGGATATTGTTTTTGAAATGTGTTTATTTATTCTAAATTATGATATTTATAAAAACAATTGCTTTTTTTCGTATCACATAAAGATACACGACATTTTTGGCACATTTTGAACGTAAATCCTGAACATTTCGGGAATTTGCACCTCTGCTGCTTATCCAGCCAAACTGCCCAATGACATGTCTGATCCAATCTGACGTCTTTCAAAGGAATTGCTTGAGCTGGTCCTCGGAACTTCTTCATTACAAGTTCTCTTTGTATTGTGCTCCCACTAGGTCGACCACGTTTAGCGCCATTTGCAGGTAGACCCAATTTGCAGAGGGTTTCGGCAAGTTCTAGTCTAAATGTACCCAAATTGAGAAGTTGATCATTTCCTTTTATATTATTTACCTTCTTGAACATAACCCATGAATTTATAACTGCGAGGTCCAGGAAATGATAAAATAAGCGCATGGTCCACTTGCGGCTCTTCATTGTGATGTGATAACGACCTATAAATGAATCTAATAAGTCCACGCCCCCCATGTGAGCATTGTACTCCTTGATGACTTTGGGGCATGGAATAGCAACTCTCTCTTTCTTCGATTTATCAAAGCGCGTGACTGTGGTTGCTGGTTCTGCTCCTACGTAAGTGGAAAGAAGGTTAACGGGCTTGTTATCTTTCCACACAACAGCACTTACGTCAATATCATCCACAGTCGCCACGTTTTCCTCATAGAATCCTCTGGGTACGTTCTTTTTCATTATAGTGTTTTTGTCAGGCAATTTGCAGTTTCTCAATCGGTTTACTCTTACTGTTCCCAGTGAGAAAATTCCTTCCTTAGCTAAATAGGTGACGAGAGGCACAGAAGTATAGAAGTTGTCGAAGTATATAATGTGATTCACATTGCGTGGTACCATTCTAGCTAACCTGACGACTGTATTTCCAGACTCTCCCAAATCTGGCTCACCAGGTAAGATGTTATTTTTGGAGCCCCCTCCACTGTAAACCTCAAATCTATGAGCATATCCTTGTAGACTGCAGATGAGATATAATTTGAACCCCCACTTGTGGGGTTTATTGGGCATGTATTGTTTTATGTAATGGCTCATTTTGGTTGCACACATCTGCTCGTCTATGGAAAGCCTTTGGTCTAAGGGAACCTTTCCAAACTGGCAGTTGAGCATTTCCTCAAGAGGTCTTATTTTGAATAGCCTGTCATAGTCTGGATGATCTTTGGGTAAGCATAGCGTATTGTCGGCAAAATGGAGAGTGGATCTTATTTTTTCAAATTTTTTTTAACGGCATCGTATTTTTTATGTGATCATAACCAAATTTATCACTCCAGTAAGCCCTGGTGTTTGGAAATTTTATGACTGAGGTGTAAATCAGAATGCCTAGGAATTTATTTAGGATATTTTCATTTATAATTTCAGGATTGGATATTTGTTTCTGGGCCGCGTATAAGTTACTTTGTTCTACAATTTGCTTTTTTAGATCTGATGTAAAATAAAATGAAAAAAAAATCATACGGCGTGTTACAAGACATCAATGCTTCCGTTATCTGAGTTTCTCCCCTAAAAATAAGGCTGTCTTCAGCAGTAACAAGATTCCGTTTTCGCCAAACCAGAGGTCGCTTAGAAATCCCTTGTGATCTACTCTGGGGTACTGCTTCTCCGGCTTCCAAAATAGGAGGGTCTGGCATATTTTGATCGTTGTCAATTACGAGAGGAGGATCAGCATCCACTTCATCAGACTGGGCATTCTCACCTTCATCACTATTTTCAAGGTACTGAAGAACATCTCGAGCTGTTTGATAATAGTGACCTTCATCCTCTACTTCGGAGTCCGAGCCGTCTAAGCCATCTTCTGAATCTTCAAGAGTTTCTAAATACTTTGTAATTTCGCTTTCTAGTAATCGCGGCATGCTGAAAAGCAAAATAAAAACCCTTCACCAAACATGCATTTATTTAGCAGGCAATGCGCATTGTATTTTTCCTACAACATACCAGATTTCGCGTAATTCGACAGTAGCATCAAGTAATTTTCAATGTTTTACAACATGAACATGTAATTGAAGATATAATCAAGCAAATAAAAATATGTTATATACTTACATTATATTTTATCAAAGTCCGAACACAGCTTCAAAACTTAGTTTCGTGCCACTAGAAAAGTTTTCTTCAAAGTGACATTTGACATTCATTTATTTGCATAAAAATATTGGATAGTGCCAACATTAAAAAAAGTACAAAATTCGTTCAGAAATAAGAACTAGTTGTCAAAATTAACAAAAAAATAAAATAAAGATAATTTTATCTGTGATGTTTAGTATGTTGTTTAAAAACAACATTGTCCATTTAAGGGTTAAGTAATACTTTGTTTTATTACGTAACATATAAACCAAAGTAAATAAAAAAATAATAACTCTTTATTTGTTAGAGTGGCCTTCCATGGTATACCCACCTTATAATAACAATATTCAGATAATTAATAGTAATGATAATCATGTGATTTTACTTATTATAAACATGTATGAAAAACACTTTCTTTTAATAAAAAAATGTATAGTGGAACTACCCTCCATAGAAGACCGGCTGAATGGACAGGTTATCTGTGAGGTCAGTAGCCTTATAAGGTACATCAATAGGTCAAAAATGGACCTCGACTTAGGCTTTGTAATTTATGGGGGATATCCCAAATTCAAACTTAGTATGAATTAGGGTAGATTCACCTCTATCCTCCATTTAGAAATTTTCGTCATACTTCTGCGTGCGGAAATCAATCTGCAAAAACACTGTCAATCATATAATCCATATAAACTCTGATAGTCAAGCAGCACTGCTAGCTCTGAGATCAAACTTATTGAACTCGAAACTAGTTAGAGACTGCGTGAACCATCAAGCGCCTTGGGATGTAACAACAGGGCCGTTTAAGATAAGTTCCGTGCCACACGGGTATTGTAGGCAATGAACTTGCCGATGAGCTCTCACGGGAGGGCATAAAGAGCACACAATTTGGAACCGAGCCATTTTGTGGAATCTCAAGCCTAGCTCGATTGACCCTTGAAACTCTTTATCACAATAAATCACTTAAAATCTGGTCTCATACACCAGGCTTAAGACAATTTAAAACCTTAATCCGGGCTTTTGATCGAAAATTTGCTTCAAAGCCCTGGGATTAGGTAAAAATAAATTGCGCATTCTGGCAAAAGCCCTGACTGGACACTGTTGTCTTAAAAAGCACATAGCCATACTGCATACTTTTTTAGTAGCTATTTACGTTAGTTCTATGCTGTTTTAGCGTTTTTATTACTTTCTATATTTAGAAATAAATAACACGAAATACCAACATAAGCGAGAACGAACCGAACATGTACGTACTCGCATTTGTTACTGGCTGATTTATTTTGTGCATTCCACAAAATTTCTCTTGTTCTGTACAACTCAATTAACTGCATTACTTTTTTTCGCTCCATAGCTGTGTTTTCTTCCAAAGTTCGCGCACGTTCCAGTACAGACACACACAACCCGTCCACACTGGCGCTCCGTGCACACTGCGCGCTCCTTTGTGTTCGGTCAAACAACCATAGATTTAGTATAAACTCCAGAAAAAACCGACAAATGGCGGATCGCGGCGCTCACGAGTTGAAATGCACTGTTCGTGCGCGTAATGAGCACGGTTCGTGCGCGCAAGCCGTCCACACTATGGAAATTCAGTTACATTGCATGAAACATTGCGACAATGTGGACAATGTGTGACAATGTGGACGGCAAATTCTTTCATTGCGTTTTACATTGCATGCTAAATTTCGCAAATCTGTACCCGCTTTTAAACATTTAAAATTCTTTAACTAAAATGTATATTTATTTAATATCTAAATGTATTATTTTAATATGTCGGTAACATCAAAAGAAAACGATAAAATAATTGAAGTTTTATTCAATAATTTATAAAGAACATTACAAAGCATTGTACTTATTTTAAGGGATTTCCGAGTATATAAGGTGACTTTAGGCGTTTTTGACTTCCGTTTTAGTGGTGAATATTTTTTTGAGTTGGTAACTCTGTATCTTGTCTGATTGATTGTGACAACTGACAACCCCGACCATTATATACAATACTCTGTGACCCCGACTTTCAAATGACTTTTGACTTAGAGTTTTGCAAAATATTTATAAAAATAAAAATGATTTAGGAACATAAATTACGTCTTTAATTTTAAGTAATATGTGTTAGTTAGTACACTAAATAATAAATAGATTATATTAGATAGAAAATTCAGATAATTAATAAATAATGAGAACCCGCAGTAATTCAGGGGTTCGCTTGGATTATTATCAAAGAGTAGTCCATAAGTTAATTTTAGATCACCAACAACCTGTAACAGGATTATTTCCTGCCAGTCCTCACAATGATCATGCGTGGATTAGAGACAACCTATATTGTATATTGGCAGTGTGGGGTTTATCAATGGCTTTCAAGAAGATTGCAGATCAAGATGAGGACCGGGCTAAAACATACGAGCTGGAGCAAAGTTGTGTAAAACTTATGAGAGGTAAAATACAATATTATACAAATTTAGTCTTCTTTGCTTACTTTTTAGTCTATATAAAATTGCTCCTGCTAACAGCAATAATAACCGATTCTAAAGATAATTTCACAGCCATTACCAATTAAATACTATTTCGACTTTAGAGTCGAAATAGTATTTAATTGGTAATGGATAAAATTATCTTTAGAATCGGTTATTCCTCAAAATAAATCCATATCCATTGTTATTTACATTTCTGTCCGACAGTTGAATTAAGAGTTTGATAATGACAAACATTATTTATTGATTCGGGTAAGGTTTACAATTCGTTCGCCTGAATTAGGGGGTGGGGGTGGTGTGGGGGGAGGGGGGAGGAGTTGTAGAGTCACCCCCTACTTCCACTTTCTGCCGGACGTGCTTAGTTTTTTTTTTATAAATTTTTAAAAATCTCATTTTGAGGTTATGTTTCGTAATTGTTATGACAATTTTAACCTGATTTATGGGGAGAGAGAGTTGGGGGACGGAAGCCCCACGCCACTTAACATAGTGTAGTCGAGTCAAGCCCGGTCGACGGAGCCCCGCTTCGCGGGGCTCCTACTTCTGAGTGGTTTACAAAAAAATAACCACGATGGGGATGATGGGGTCCATTCGTTCGCTTCGCTCGCTCACTCGACCCCGTCATCCCCTTCTAACCTAACCTATCCGATTCGGGGTGCCCCACATCCTAGGCTCGCTTCGCTCGCTATTGCTGCACCCAATATAACACCAAAACATTAACTTTTATAACTACTTTAATTTATAAACATAATTTATGGCTGCCACCATTTGTAAGAAAGGATCTTTGCGATATTTAGCACTATTCTGCCACCACAAATATTCCACTATTCACCAAAATTATGAAACTCTGAAGCAACGGCATGACGAAAAACTGTCAACAAAATGGCTGGCCTAGCAATTAATTTTACACATTTTTAAATCGATTCAAATCGAAATTGGATGAATCGATTCACAAAAAATCGAAATCGTAAAGATCGATTTCGCAAAAATCGATCTTTTTTTGATTTGCGTTATCAAAAGATACAATAAAGTACAGATAACATTGAATGATTGAATTAAAAACTGTCATTCTTTACGAGTTACTAATTGTAAATAATTTTACAAATCTTAATAAAACAGAAAAAGTTTCGATCTCGATTCTCTAGGGTAAAATATCGATTCACTAGATCGATTCAGTACTATATATTGATATGACATTGACAGATGAAACGTCAAAAACGTAATTAATTAGTCATTTACTAATATTTTAAAAAAATAATTAAAAATACTTCGACGCTGCTCCGGCAGCAAAAATCGAGTGGGGGTGCTTCAGATAAACCCCCTTGACCCCCCCACAGTGACAGAATCTTCAAATTCAGGTGACCGAATTGTAAACCCAACCCATTGATTCATATAGGTATTTTTTTAAATAGCTCTCTAGTATCTGTATTTTACACACTAATGACTATAATTTTTAGGTCTCTTGATGGCAATGATGCAACACAAGGAAAAAGTTGAGAAATTTAAAATTACACAGCATCCAATGGATTCACTTCATGCCAAATATTCATCGATAACTGGCCGTACAGTTGTTAAAGATAATGAGTGGGGACACTTGCAAATAGATGCCATCTCATTATACCTCCTTGTTCTTGCTCAGATGACTGCATCTGGCTTACAGATCGTTTTTACACTAGATGAAGTAGCTTTCATACAAAATTTGGTTTTTTACATTGAATCAGCTTATTGCACCCCTGATTATGGTATTTGGGAGAGAGGTGACAAAACTAACCATGGGTTACCAGAACTCAATGCAAGTTCAATTGGTATGGCTAAAGCGGCCCTTGAAGCTATGAATGAGTTGGATCTATTTGGTGCACGTGGAGGACCTTCAAGTGTAATTCATGTTTTGGCAGATGAAGCTCAGAAATGTCAAGCTGTTTTACAATCAATGCTACCGAGAGAGTCGAACAGCAAAGAATTAGATTCTGGCCTTCTCTCAATCATAAGCTTTCCAGCATTTGCTGTAGATGATCCACAGCTAATAGCAAAAACTAGAGATACCATAGTTACAAAACTTCAAGGAAAATATGGTTTTAAAAGATTTTTAAGAGATGGTCACAAAACACCACGAGAAAATCCAAACAGGCTCTATTATGAGCCATGGGAGTTACGAATGTTTGAAAATATTGAATGTGAGTGGCCATTATTCTATTGTTATCTAATACTGGATTCCTGCTTTCAAGGCGATAAAAGCAATGTTGCAGAGTATATGCAAAAATTAGAAAAGATAATGATTAGGAAAGATGATGGAATAAAACTTGTTCCTGAGTTGTATTCTGTGCCAGCAGATAAGGCTGATGCTGAGCAACATGACCCTGGAAGTCAGGAAAGAATACCACTTGGCAGGTGTCCTTTTATATGGGGTCAGTCATTGTATATTCTTGGGAAATTATTGCAAGAGGTAAGTCTTATTACAATATTTACTGTTACAATCTATCAAATGTTCACTGATATACATAGGTCCCCTACATAGATCATTATAGTAGGAGATATTTACCATAGTAGTCATACACGGGAGGCAGGTTGGCATCCATAGTTTTTAATTTTTATTAGAAAGGTGATGCTGCCCTTTTCCTAGTTTGTATCCCTCTGTCTACTCTTACAACAGTGGTAGTGGTAGTGGATATTCTTACACAACCACTACACTGTTAATATTACAATATTGTGTAGTCTTTATTATAATTCAATAAGTCTAGATCTTTTTTTAAATTTTCAGGGTTTTTTAGCTGTAGGTGAACTCGATCCTCTTAATAGAAGACTGTGCTCAGAGAAAAAGCCAGACGTGGTGGTACAAATTGCTATACTGGCTGAAGACAATGAAATCAGGGACAAATTGTTAGAGTATGATTTACATGTTCAAACAATAAGTGAAGTAGCTCCTATAGAAGTCCAACCTGCTAGAGTTTTAAGTCATCTCTATACCTATTTGGGTGCGTATTTATTAATCTGTTAGTACTTAGAATATATAGACTTATAGGGGGATAAGTCGCTCGCGTCCGTAGGCTCTGACCACCTATTCCTAGGCCCACCCTACACGTGTCCCCCGGGTGGTGCTAAATGAGCGACAAGCCGATAGCACAGACTCGGCTCCACGCCCTGGTAGAGGCGTAAAATATACCACCCTTTATCCGCACCATGAGGAACAATATAATAGAAATGGCCCCGAGTTCCCGGCGCCCCTTTAATGGGGCAGGGGTGCGAAGAATCTCCGGGAGGAAAACCGGCGACGAGGTTCGCCACCCGTCACGTTCTGTCTCCCGGAGAGGCGAAAAGTGGATTGCAGAGGTCTGTCTGGCTACGTTGAATGTATGTGGGGCAATGAATGATAAAATGGATGAAGTATGCGATATGATGAATGATAGAGGAATAGATGTGTTATGTGTAAATGAGACGAAAAGGAAGGGAAAGGATGTCACTACACATGGCATGTATACCGCATACTGGTCTGGTGTAGACGAGATCGAGCGGGCATGCCAGGGAGTAGGTATCATCCTTTCAGAAAGAATGGGCCAATGTGTGAAAGAGTACGAATGTGTAAGCCCAAGACTGCTGTGGATACGAATGAAAGTGGGCTTAAAGAAGTTGTTTGTGTTAGGGGTCTACGCCCCAGACATGTCTAAGCCCACTTATATCCGAGAGCAGTTTTGGGAAATGGTAAGGATGGTGTTAATGGAGTGTAAGGGAAATGAAAATATTATTATGCTAGGAGATTTTAATGGAAGGGTTGGGGTGAGGAGGCTTGGTTATGAAAGGATATTGGGAACGTTTGGTGATGAAAGTATAAATGAGAATGGTGAAAGTCTCCTCACCGTATGTATGGAAAAGAATCTTTTTGTGACGAACACTTGCTTTCGCCACAAGAGGATTCACATGTATACTTGGGAAAGAGGTGACGATAGAAGCATGATAGATTTAATAATTGTGGATGAAAGATTGAGGGGCGCAGTTGTAGATACAAGGGTTTACCGGGGTTCTAACGTAGGAACGGATCATTATTTGGTTCTATGCCGAATTAATGGTCTATTCAGGCGTTGGCGCCATCGGTCATCTGTGTCTACCACTGCGTTACAGCGTATTAGAACAGAAAGGTTACAAGATGAAGGTGAGAAAAAGAAGTTCAAATGTAGACTGAAAGAAAATATAAGTGGTTTGGATGAATTATGTATGAAGGAGTTAGACTTGGAGAATGTATGGCAAAATGTAAAGAAAGGTTTAGTGGATGCAGCTACCGAAGTATGTGGTGTTAGTAAGAGAAAGAATGAAAGGAAAAATAATACGTTATGGTGGGATGATGAGGTACGTATGGAAGTTGAAGCAAAGAAGAGAGCATGGCTAGATTTACTAGCAACAAAGGCTGGTAACTCTAGCGGTACGAATGATGATATTGAAAGAAAAAAGGCAGTCTTTAGACATCTTAATAAGAGAGTAAAAGAAGTAGTTGAAAGAAAAAAGCAAGAAAGAACGGATAAGAATGATAGAAGAATATCGGATAATTTCCGGGCAAATATTAAAATGTTCTGGAAACTTGTAAGAACTGCCAGGGGACATTCAAAACAGCCTATGATGAATGCTATAAGAGACGAGAATGGCTATATTCTGAATGATGAAGTTTTGAGTTTAAAGAGATGGAAGGAATATTTTGAAAGCGTGTTTATGAGTGAGGAGACAACGTGTGTACTAAGTGAAGTAGAAATTCCGAAAGAAGAGGAAAGAGGTAGCGAGATTAGTGTAGGTGAAATAATGAAAGCAATGAAAAGCATGAAAGCAGGTAAGGCTGCCGGATATGATAGAGTTTCACTCGAAATGCTAAGGGCTGGAGAGGAAGTGGTGGCAGGCCTGCTGCACACCTTGTTTAATTTATGCTGGGAACTGAAGCGGGTACCGGTAGACTGGTGCAAAGCCGTGATAGTCCCAGTATATAAGGGAAAAGGGTCGCAGCAGGACTGTAAAAACTACCGTGGCATCAGCCTTCTTAGCATTGTGGGAAAACTGTATGCTAAGGTACTGATTGAAAGGGTCATGAAAGAAACTGATGGAAAAATTTGGGATGTGCAAGCAGGATTTAGAAAGGGAATGGGATGTACAGATCAAGTCTTTTCCATGCGCATGATCGCGGAGAAGTTTTTGGCCAAAAACCAAAAGGTTTTTTGTGCGTTCATGGACTTGGAAAAGGCCTATGACAGAGTGAATAGGGATGTGCTATGGCAAACACTGAACTCATTTGGGTTGAGCGCTGGCTTGATACGGGCATTGGAGTCCCTTTATAGGGACTCTAGTGCTTGTGTTAGGATCAACGGGGTCTACTCGGACTGGTTTGACATCCATAAAGGTGTCAGACAGGGCTGTGTAGCTTCCCCGTGGCTGTTGAACCTATTTATGGAGAGTTGTTTGCAAAATTTGAAAGTTGAAGAATGCGGATTAAGAATGGGTGAGTTAACCGTCAAATGCCTTTTGTACGCCGATGATCAAGTTATACTTGCGTCGTCGGCGGCCGAGTTGCAAATGATGGTTACATTAATGAACAGATCATTAAAAGAAAGGGGTATGAAAGTGAACGCAAGTAAGACGAAGGTTATGGTTTTTGAAAGAGAAGAAAGTAAAACGATTTGTGAAATAAGAATAGAAGGGGAGTTGATCGAGCAAGTAGACGAGTTTGTATATTTGGGCTGCGTATTTAGCAGGGATGGGAGATATGATAAGGATATAGAACGACGAGTGAATGCGGGAAATAGAGTAAATGGGGCCCTGCACTCTATTGTGAAGAGTCAAAATGTGTCGAAAAAGGCACGTATGGCAATTCACAATGCTGTGTTGGTCCCTACTTTAACATATGGTAGTGAAAGTTGGGTGTGGCAGAAGAAGCACGAGAGTAGAATGAACGCAGTAGAAATGCGGTCGTTAAGGAGTATGTTAGGGCTGAATCTTAATGACAGGGTAAGAAATTGTGTAATAAGAGAAGAGTGTGGTTTGCAAGATGATGTTGTGACCAGGATTAAGAAAGGAATGCTTCGGTGGTTTGGTCATGTGGAAAGAATGAATGAGGAAAGAGTGACAAAGAAAATTTATGTTGCAGAAGTGAATGGCAGAGTCGGAAAGGGACGTCCTAGGCGAAAATTTATCGACCAAATTGGCGATTTATTGAAAACGGGCCAAATTAGGAGTACCCTTAACCGACGAGCATGTATGCGGAGGTGTATGGATGTGAAGGAGGCGAGAGAGGTGTGTCAGGATCGTGCCAAATGGAAGTCTGTAGTCTCTGCCTACCCCTCTGGGTGACAGGCGTGAGTGTTTATGTATGTATTATGTACTTAGAATATTAAGTGTTCAATTTGTCCTAATCAAAAAAAAAATGGTTCACTCTGCCCTCACTATTAAATTTTGTTAATAAAATTCAGATTCCTTTTTAATTAAATTTTAAGCATACAAACAAACAACACACAAAAAGCTTAAACATACAAAGAACATATATGCACATGCGCGCAGTGTACATGTGCATGCACACACACACACACACACATAAAACAGTAGAATAACTCCTTTTAAAAACAGTAGAATAACTTTCTATGAGACTCAAAAAGTGGAAAATACCTTTATAAGTTTAAAATCATATAATTTTATAGTGTATACTACTATATTAGGAAGTTTAAAAGTTAGTAAAGTTGTAGCTATACACTGGTTCCACAGCTAGGGGTTTTCTCTCATTTCTGAAAGGATTATGGAGCCTCCTCTCCAGTACATATTAGCGGCCCTCACTTATATTTGAAATATTTTTATTTGTCCGACATGCAGGTTTCCACATATAGTTTTTTTTTCATTGCTGTTAGGGTGACAAATCTACACTTTAAATAGCAAACAATGATAATTTCATTAGTGGATACTGTATTGCCTAAGGAACATGCATATTGTATACTGTAAAAAAATCATGTCCATTATTGACCTGAAAATTTTCTAATGTGTCTAGTGGTGTAAAATATCTTATAAAATTGCATATTTTTTCTTATTTTTTTTTTATAGGATAGGGTGACAAACGAGCACACAGTCCACCTGATGGTAAGTGGTTGCTGCGGCCCATAGACATCTACATCTATCTTCCATTACAAATCAAAATGCGGATGCGTTGTCACCCGTGAGGACTGAGATGGAATGCCTCATTTCCAGTAAAAAGGGTCTCCGGTTCTCTACACTCACCATACGAAATACAGCAGCATTAAGCTACTATTTCACGCTGGTATTCTGTGAGAGCGTGGTCCTTCCCCGGTCAAGCCGACCCATTCGTGCTACAACTATACTACTAATATAATTGCAGCATGGCTCTACCACGTAAAAAATTATTCGATATTCAATTATGCGATACGAAATATTTTATTTCGTATCGTATAATTGAATTTTCATATTAAGCCACGAAAAAAAGTAATGTTACATTATTTATCATTCTCAATAGACTTTTGGAGACGGAACATGTTTTACAATGGCTCAAAGGCCCAGAAGCTATGCCAAAATATATTAAAATCGTGTTTTCCGTGTTCCATGTTCCATTTCAGACTACGAAAAACATGTTCATTTGTCACTTGTTTTATTAATGTTCAAAATAACCAATTTCTTTTTTTATAACTTATTAATTTAAGATTTGATACGATTTGTAATGGTTTTATACTATGGCGTGGAAAGAAAAATAAGTGTATAGACTTTATCTAACAGCTGTTATAACTTCAAAATTTTATTTACTTAATAGCATTTTCCTTGGCCTCTAAACTAAAAGATAATAAGTTATTACGTTATTACAAACAATAATTGTTTTTATACAACAGTAATTGTAGGTAGACGCGACCTATTAAAGGAATCAAGTGACAGGTCAATCAATGTATAGAAAGTGGGCATGATTCTTTATGGTGAGCTCTTATTCCCTGAGCCACTATCGCTCACATGTGGAGTGGTGTTGTCCATTTTTTATCGGACTATATTTTTATTGATTAAACATTGAAAGATTGCTAAGTGAAGTACATAATTTTTTTTATCTTAAACACAAGTTTAAGATTTCGTGATATAACTTTTGAACTATTACTTGCTATTATTGTATTCTCCTAAAGAGAAACTCATTATCATTATTACTTGAATTTTTCTTTAATTGCAGGTCGAAACAAAAAGTTAGGTTTATCTGGAAGAAAATCACGTGATGTCGGAATACTAAGTACGAGTAAATTGTATTCTTTGAATGATCGCATTTTTGCCTTTACTCCACAGGTATATTTCCATTATTGCATGTACATGCCTTAGTTTTATTTAAATACTATTTTTGTTTTAATTTAGTTTTTAGTTATATTTATCAAAACACTCAGGACCTGGAAAGTAACTGATGGTACTACTGACAGATAAATTATAATGCTTTGTTATATTATGTACTTTACTAAAATTGTTAAATATATTATAAACATGAAAAAATGGGGTACTATAACCGTTGCCATATGTTTTGTATTGCCTTTTATATAAAATTGAAGGAACAGTCTATCTGATAGTAAGCTGCTACTGCTGTCCATGGACACCTTCACCCAACTTCAGACAAAGAATGCTACAAAAATATGATGCAGATGAGGACTAAGATAAAATGCCTCACAGCCCCTAATTATACTAGCTCTCTATTCCCTTCAGACTCGAATACAGCAGTGCAAGCACAGTTATTTGGTGACATAAATTGTAAAGTGGTAGAAAAGGAGTTCTAGGTGGTAGAACTCTAAAAGGAGTACTACCACCTAGTAGAGGGAAACCCACCGCCTAGTAAAATGAGACCTATCATCTAATAAAAAGAATCCTATCACCTAGTAAAAGGAGTCCCATCATGTAGTAAAATGAGTCCTATCGTCTAGTAAAACGGATCCTATCACCTAGTAAAAGGAGTTCTACTACCTAGTAAAAGAAGTTCTGTCATACAGTAAAAATAGTCCTACCACCTAGTAAAAGGTGTCTTATAGGCTAGTAAAAAGAGACCTATCGCTTAGTAAAAGGAGTCCTACCACCCTAGTTGAAGGAGTCCTATCTAAAAAGAGTTGTAGTAAAGATTTGTTAGTGCCTGTTTGTAATGTATTTGTATAATGTAATGTATTTATATCATATAAAAATTTGATTTTAATCCATTCTGCTATTGTATTCTGAATTGGATTTTTGCTGGCGCTTGGTTAATTGAGCTTTAGATTGTATGGAGTTTTGTAAATAGTAATTATTATGAAAACATGAATAATTAGTAAATAGTTATTTTTCGGTATGATAAGTTTTTTAAATATGGGTTGTTTGAATCTGTGAATGAACAAGGGTCATACATGGTGAATCCATGCTGCAACTATATGATTGTTGTAGTATGAATTGGTGGAAAATGACTGGGAAGGATAGCTCTTACAGAATACCAGCATAAAATAGCAGATTAATGCTCCTGTGTTTCGTATATTGAGTATAGAGAACTGAAGATGATCCTTTTTACTGGTAACAAAACGTTCCATCTTAGTCCTGAGCGGTAACAACGCATTTAGATCAAAATCGAGGAAAAATGTATATGTGTATGGGCCACAGCATCCACTTCCCATCAGGTGGACTGTGTGCTCGTTTGTCACCCTTTATTCTATAAAAGCATGCATACAACCGCCTAACAAATTTTAAGATTATAAGAAGTTTTTATAAAACTGCAATGCCAAAATTAAACTCATTTTTATTATTAACTGTGTCCTCCAAAATATGACAAAGTTGCTTTGATAAGTTAAGGATTAGTTGGTAGATGGTAATGATGATTGAGTTTCACATCTACCATTTTAATTTTTATCACATACTTATGTTAGCAAATTATATGATGTGACCAAGCTGCCATTGTTTAAAAAAATCTTTTAAAATAAGTGTTTGCTTTTGTTGTTTGGTGGGTGAAAAGCAAACAATTTAGTCTAATTCCATTATATTGTGTTGTTTTAAACATAAATGATTTGTTTTAATGTGATGTATTTACATGTTTTGCTTCTGTATATTATATTTTATTTATTTCTTGTGCATGATATTATAATTGTTAATGCTTAATGAACTGTTTGTACTTACGCACATATTTTCTTTTATTTGGTAGTTTTCTGATATGAAGCGTTTCTACATTGCTTCTGACTTTGAACTGATGGTTGATACACTCAAAGCTGAAATTAATTTCTTGAAGTCTTCTTGGCAAAACCTACTTGGGAGACCGCTTGTTGTCTTGACCTTGAATCAAATGCATTTAGGTACTATTTTATTGTATTCATTTATTTTAATTTACTGTGTATTCGGATGACTTGCTATCTTTTCTTAACAGTAAACTATATTTTTATATAATTGCACTTTAACATGATATTAAGCATGCTATTTATTTTAAAATACCTAGCTATTTCAATAACTCTTTTAGTTGTAGCACTTGCTATATGAAGTTATTAAGAACATTAACAATCGTAGATTAGTAAATGTTGCGAGTTTTGTAACTTTGTCCTTTATAACAAATCAATTTTGTTTAGATTTTAGTTTTTAACTAATTTGTTATGTTCAAAACTTCTTATGGAATTTTCATGAGATAGCCGATAAATAAAATTGTTAATGATGATTGTACTGCATCATAAAAACCTCGTGATGTCCTGCATGTATAGAATTTTGACTACGAGGAGTACTACATGTCTCGTGATCCGGCGCTGCTCGCGAGCACATTTACGACGAACGTTGCGTTCCTCGGCATGAGCTGGAAGCAAATGCTAGGCCGGCCGACGATTACGTTGCTCGCCACCCAGTACCTGTTAGGTAAAAACTCTAGTGATGACGGTAGAATTCCAAATTTGAAATAACTATAGCAAAGGATAGTTTTTATTTTATATTATTTATTATTCAATATGGAGGATATAATACATTATAGTTATTCTAATTTGAATTTCAATGGTCTTAAGTAGTATATTTAAAAATGCTTAATTCTATGTTTTTATTATAGTTGCCGACTACTTATATAATATAGTAAAATAAATAAAATAATTAAAAAAACTTAGAGTGCTTCACACTATCTGCACCGCGGAATATAAAAAACAAGAGGAAGTAGTAAAACACATAATTTTTACCAAAACCACTTTCGCCAAACTCACACATTCACAAGAATATAACGACCACCGATACCGACGATTGACTTTTATAAAATAAAAGAGAAAGGATTTATGTTACTCACCATTCGCTTGAGTACGAACTATAAGTTCTTAAAAATATATATCATATCCCTTTTCATCAAGGACGTTTCTAGAATTAATGAGCAAATTTAGCTTTTTAACGTTAGATTTCGTGGTAATATCTCGATTATTTGAAAACGCACCATAAAATCTTAGTAATAGATGTTATGTCTTAATCAAAAAAGCTTTTAAGATTGACGAAAAAAAATGCTGTGACGCTAGATGTCGCAATAATAAAGTCACGCTAAAGCTCAACGCACATTTGTCAGCACCGTACGCGACGCATTTTAGAATTCGTTGCATGAAATCATATATGAAACCTCGCACATTACAGCCGCACCATACGTGCCTCATTTTGTAAAATGCGGTAGGTATCCGAATATTGAAGTCATATAATGCGGCGAGTGAGGTGCGTTGTATAATTTTGCCAACTGTGTGAATTTTCCACTAAAACTGATGGTTTCGACTGTCGTTTCTAAATATATTTTTAATTTCATTTCAGGAGCATTTTCCTTCACTATGTAGGCAAAAATTAGTCACATGAGACTTTTTATAACTTTTAATTAATACGTAACTAATTATACGGGAGTTTTTCATAAAAGTGTACATGTGACGAACCGGAAATTGAGTGAAACAAAATTTTTAATCTGCAAAATTTTATTACCAGTTACTAAATAATAGTATAAGGGACATATTTTTGAAATTTCACGTAAAAGTATTAAAATATGAGGATGTAACATGAATTTTTCGTTACTCTTCTGTATAAAAATATTCTGATGCGTCACAAAAGGAAATCTAATATTTATTTGAAAATATTATTTCAACACGCGTGGCACGTAACTATAAACATTAATGCAAGCTTTTTTTAAGTATGCCTAAAGATTCACACTTAAAAGAAAATATTGTTTTATAAGCACAATATTTTCTGGTTAGTCACAAACTTGACCTACTCAATTAAGAAGAATCAGTTTATTTTAATAACAATAGCATTTAAAGAAAGTTTTTTTGAGAAATGTGTTAACTTAATTTATAATGTATGTTTTGCACTAAAAACGACGCTAACATCTAATAAATAAATACGGATTTTTGAAAAAAATCAACACAAATATTTGGGGACAAGTGACTATCGAGAACTTCGCGTGACTATTGGGAAACATAAAGCTCAGTACAGAAGAGTGACACGTTGTGATGTTTTCGGGGTGATTATAACGTGGATTTGAACTTTTTCGTTAAATCGTTTAAAACTATGTTCTTTATCATTTTCTTTTCTTGATGCGACTTTGTAATTAAATAGGATTTCCGCAAAGACAGTTCTAGAATCTCTTGTCGACCTTTTAGTCTGTCTATAGTATTTTATTTTTCTTGGCTCTCCTTTTCATATGCTAGCTTTTGACAATATAATTATAAAGATATTAATAGTTATTTTACAACCATTCGCTCAATTAAATAAAATGATGTCTTATCTAGTTTGAAGAGCACCTCCCTCCACCCTTAATTGCGTGCACTAATCCCGTCACCACTAATCCCAGCACCACTACTCCCGACATCACTATTCCCAATACCACTATTCTAGGAAAGACACACCATCGCCGATAATACGACAAGTGTTTCGGCGCTACACGAGGCATCTTCAGGTGATGTAGACTACGGCGGCTGACGGCTGACTTAGTGGTCTTGGCACATGATCGATGTCCACTACTGGAAATACATGTGCATATTGCCTTATAATTCCAGACGTCACGAAATTCTTTCCGGTAATAAATCACGTGCTATCTGGACGTGACGAATCTTCGCTAAAAAAGTTTGAAAATTATTATGAAATCAGACAAAAACTTTAAACATTCTATTTTACTGATTTCAAATACTTTACAAGCTAATTTATATTTTAATGCTATTCATTCAACAATAAGATATCATTTACCAATCCAAAACTCCAATATAAGACGTAACAATTTGGAACAAACTTTTTGACTTCGCACAACACGACTGCTTTCGTCACGTAATAGTCGACACTGGAAGAGCTGTGTCAAATTAGCGGCAGTTCACATTGTCAATATGAGTGCTGCCAATACAAAACGATATAAATTGACTAAAAATTAATTAAATACGTGACGGTACTCCGGAATTTCCGGCATGTCATTTTCTAGGGACAAAGTAAAAAATAGAAATTAGAAAATTATACCGTGTTTTTAGGGCATATTATCTGTTTTAGGAAGAAATATGCAATAAATAGCCAAAAAATTATATTCCTAAGGCAAACATACACATTGCTATTTCATTGTAAATCCGCCAAGGAGACCAGGGGACATGTCAAATCATAAAGTTTGTAGTTTTTTTTTTTGTGTTTTTAAATGTTTCTCTTTAAACGCAAGATTTAGTTAATCGAATTTTAATTAAATAAATATTTTTTGTACAAGAAATTACGCTTTATTATTATAATTTACAGGGCAATAATAATAAAAAATAAATGTTAATGTCTGGGACAGCACACATTTTCGATGTACACTTTTTTTTGTTAAAATCGCCCATACACAATTTGAAAAAAAAAATTGCATTGATTATTATCATTATAAATACTTAGCGACAAAATAATTTAAATACAATAAAAATTGATAATCAATTTTAATTCGAAAACCCTATCATACCTGATTACTTAATTATCAATAAAAATACTTACCTCAAACATACAACAAGTTTACATCTGGTTCAATTAACCTTCTAAATCTTGCGTTTTCCATAGAGAGATATGGTTTTAGCGTATGTAGCAATTCTTGAAATTTCTTGTATGTTAAATGCAAATATTTGAAAAACTCGTTCATCATCATCTAATAAACTACGATACCATACAATTGCCTTTTTAAATTATTATTATCATTAATCCAGAATCTTCTTTCCTTCGAATTTTATTTTCTTCTTCCTCTGCCAATAAGCAGTCTATTAGAACAATTTTTTCCATAACGATCCGAGCGACCAATGTCACTGTACCGTTTCACACTAGTCGTTAGAAAAAACTGTAAAAGTTGTTGGCAATACAAAAGAAATGCGTACGGCGCGTACCTATGTACAAATGTGCGAGGCCATTCGCAAAATGAGGCGCGTACGATGCGGAGAAATGTGCGTTCAGCTTAATAAAGGACTAATGTTAATAGACATAACGTTCACTTTGGTTTACTTAACCTGCTACTGCTACGAGAATAATGTTAGTAATGTAGTTACTCTGCCGGAACATGATCTGGCTCATCGATATTCAGTCAATATTAGGGTTGGGGGGAGTAGGAGTAAAATAAAATGTATTAGAAATTATCTTGATGTACTACGTATATCCCCGTAATTAATACTTAGCCGGCATAAAATTAGCTGTCTTTGATGGAAATTTATTAACTTGAGCTAAATTATCATTTATGATACGAAACAAGGAGAATAATAAAAAAAAATAAAGCAATTTTTATTGTTCATGAAATAACACGTTTGCTTAAAAATTGTTGTTTTAACACTTTAATATTTAATTTTAGACGATGATGAATTCGGACACTAATGTAGATCATGATATTTACTTTTATTACAGCTTCTTTTCAGAAGCCATACGGAGCTACTTACTTACTTCTTTGGCTTAGCAACCATAACAAAAATGTTCATTCATAAGGTTCATTCATATGACTCCATAACTTCGTACATTTTCATAGAAATCTAGTATTTGAACATTTTCATTATTAGTGAATAAACTGGACACGAGATAAATTTTTATCGATAACTTTAATATCAGCGTAGTCAAAACAAAATCGCAGCAATTTTTATTTAAAATGTATTAACAGTTGAACCTTAGGATAACAAAATAAGCTTGAATATTACTTATAATAAAGGAAATTTGATATTTTGTCTATTTTTATTCACGTATCTATGCAAAAAAAGAAAAAATTACTCATTCCTTTGATATGAAATACCTCCATTGGAAATTATTTTTTTTTGCTTTCGTGTTTACACTCCATTGTTGCACAAAACGGTATATTTTTGCATTATATCACTCAAGCAGCGACCCGTCAGCTCGCGACAATTTAAGCCTGCGACTGACAGTCAATTAGAGTCTACTGTCCCTAATTGTAACACGCCTGCCCCGCCCACTTTTGGCTTCCTTTTGTTTTTTATGTATCGTTGCAATATAAGTGCGTTGGGGTAATACCGGACGATTTTCGACTAGTTAAAAGAGTCGGGCAAAAACTATATTTTCTCGACATCCATATACGTCAGATATCTAAAACATGGCGCAAATCGTTAATGGTTATACGTATTTAGCTATAAGAAGCTTTTACTTTTCAAAACTCAACAGTTTCTGCTTAAAACGTGTGCGAAGACAAGGCATAATTTTTTATATGCATGATGAAGAATTGGCCATCAAGGGGTAAGACCGGGCGTCGCTAAAACCGCAAATAAAGACGAAAAAAAATACAAAAAATACCTTGTTTTATAAAATACTGCGCAGCACACGCCCTACTTTTCCGAGCGACTGGCTGGAACTTGGGGTCGGGGCAGAATAAAATGGAGTCTTGTACCATATTGCTAGCTTTCAAAAATATAGCATAATTCACCGGCAATTTGAATTTTACGGTCTTACCCCATCACCGATCTTACCCCAATGCACTATAATATTTTCTGCTGCGAACCGCTTCATAATTAATATTTTTTATAAAATAAAATTATACAAATTTCCATAAGTACTATATTATTTGGTATTTTTTATTATTAAATTTTGTTTTTATTATTTATTTAATAAAAAATAAAAAAGGAGGGGGGGGGGAAGGGGGTTTGTGGGGGCCCCCTTTGGGGGGGGTTAACGTGTTTTTTTTTTTTTTTTTTTTTTTTTTTGTTTTTTTTTTTTTTTTTTCACTTCGTTGGTTTTTTGCAATGTGGCTGTATATAACTCTACATATATAAAGCCGTGGTAGCTCAGGGGCTTAGCGCTCGCTGTAAATTTCACAGTACGCCAACAACCCGGGTTCGATCCCCGCCGGCACTAATGAAAAAAACGGTTAATTTTAGGGATGTGTTTCCGATTCCGATACCGATACAGATATACCGGGCAATTTAATCGGTTGATATTACGGTATCGCCGATTGTATACAACCGATATCAAGAGTTTGAAAAGCGCGCGAAACGAACAACGCACGGCGCGACTTTTTTGCTTGGATTTGCGTAACAGATTATCTGCTAATAATTTAAACAAAATTGGTTTTCTTAACAAAAATCTACCAAAAGTTAACTTTAATTACTGACTTTATAATGATTTCTAAATTTACGCGAACACTAATATTGAATAAAACTATATTACGGATTTTGGTTTAATATCTTTAATTTATTTTATTATTCATCTCAGTCCCCCCGTGACCATGGGCGCTGTAAAGCACCCGAAACGTCGGGATAATAATAAAAATAAATTAAAGATATTAAAGGATAAAATCCGTAAATATAGTTTTATTCATTACTGACTTTATCTTTTATATCGGTTTACTTTACCACTTAATAATTAATTATCGCTTTGATTACTTGATAATATTCTGGATTATTTCATATAAATAAATGTTTTCTTTTAATTTTGAATTGAAATTTTGATATGACATTTTTCTTTCTCAAGATTCAGTCTATGATAAATATAGGTAACGTTTATGCATAATAAAGAAAATTATTTATTGTTTATTTGTTATATTTTTCTATTTCTACTAAGCCACCGTTAAAGGTATTGGTATCGGTATCGCCGATTATTTACTACAATAATTGGTATCGTATCGGCACAATTATGTATCGTTACATCCCTAGTTAATTTCAATTTAAATGCTGATTTGCTACGTGCTCGGCGGTGAAGGGAAACATCGTGAGGAAACCTGCATATCTGAGATGTAAGAAAAAAAATTCAAAGAGTTCGCCAACACACATGAAGCAGCGCGGCGGACATTTCCTAGCCCTAAAACCTGATTTTTTATATTTAATTATAAACTAATTTTACGGATTTTATCGCTTTTAAATAAAATTAAAACTTTTTACTTGTTTTTAATTCCCTACGTTTCGGGAGCTTTACAGTACAATGAGGTGATTGACATCCCGATGTCAAAGTTAACCCGTAGAGTACCTTTAACTTTTTAATTATTACTCTCGGTCCGATCTACACAAAATACCTTACTGTATTTTAAAATCTTGTAGTGGTATGCTTGGGTTTAGTTTTTAATTTAATTAATTACTGAATCCCAAGAAATTGATAGTACCACTACCATCTGCTTGAGTTTTATATAGGGTACATGGGTGCTGCAAAGCACCCGAAACTTCGGGAATTAAAAATAAGTAAATTTAAAAAATAGCTCAATTCAAAGTATTTTTTTTAAATATTTCTAATATATTTGCTAGTTAAATGATATTTTAAGGAGACTAATCAGTGGAGTTTGACTCCCAGTCCGAAGTATTTCCGCACAGTTTTTTATGTGTTTTATGTAACTTTTAGATTAGTAAATAGATCAGGATAGGTTTCTCCAATATATCTTCTTCCAATATCTCCAATATATTCTTGTCCCTTGTGTAATATTTATTATTTATTTGAAATACGGTTTTAAAAGTTATAATAACCTTACATATTTTTATTCTTTTATTAACATAGATATCATAACAAATTCATAAATACTGTATTTAGAAAAAGTGTACTTCGTGTTTCAGACCAAGGTAAAATTCCTATGGCAATGATAACGACTATGAAAAAGTTAAAATCTGGATATATTAATGGCACTAGAGTGATGTTGGGCAACCTCGGCGACTTCTTGAGCACTTCGGCCATAACAAATTTGAGTTTTTTGGGCAGTCAAGAGGAAGGTTATCCCGATAGTAAGTTAAACACCTTAATGCTGCTGTGTTCCGTATGCTGAGTGTAGAGAACCTGAGACCCTTTTTACTGGAAACTGAGCATTTCATCTTAGTTCACAATGCATATCTGCATTTTGACTCTTAATTGAGGATAAATATAGATGTCTATGGGTCACGGCATCCACTTCCCTTCAAGTGGACTAATGTGCTCGTCCGTCATCCTTATTTTATAAAAAAAATTAACACCGGTAAGTGCTAATTCACCATGATATGTTCTTGTGGTTAAGGAAAACATCTTAGCTGAATGTTTCGTTTTTTAATTAAGATGTTTTCCTTAAAAAACACGAAACATTCAGCTAAGACACGGTGAGTCTTATTGGAGCAGCGCTATTTTAAGTAAGCATACGAATCGAACGTCAAATGTGTACGAAAAAAAAATGTTTTTTTTTTAATTCAAGTAAATTTTTCCGCATTATAATACTTGGCCTACTAGTGAGAAAATTATGCTTTTTATGTCTAACTCTTAATCAATTTCTTTTCTTGGAAGAGTGAAAGGATGGTTGCCATCGTTATATCAATAGATAATACTTTTAAAGAGATAATGTTTTTATATTATAAGAGTGTAGTACCACTTTGCTTTACCCATGCTAATTTGAGTGGACAGCTATAGTTTTACAGCGGTTTTAGGTCTGCACCACAAAACCGTTTCCTAGAACAAGCTGGCTGGCATAGAATACTTTAATACACAATAGAATGGCTGTCAACCTTATTTTGTACGAGGATCGGCGTCGGCGGGAGCAAACATACAAGCAATTACGTCGTATTATTACAAACCCGATTCGCTATTTTGACAGACTTAAGTGAATTTACACATTTTAGACTTGAGTAATGTTCAAGATCATCATTAAAAAAACTCGTACATACTTATTTGTAAATAGTGTGCAAATTAATCGTAAGTACAATCGCAGTATCATTTTTTTTTTCTTATTGTAAATAAAAAGTTGTTGAACACGTGATGCGTAACGTCAAAAGAGAAAAGAGATGTGTTGACATTTAATAGGTATGAACTGACATGTTAGTGGCTACACGGACTCCTATTATGTATTATGTATGTACTACACTACCACTCTCCCGTTCTATTATGTATGTACTATAGTATTCTATGTTGGCTGGAATCTATTAGCACAGAATAAATAATAGTACTACGTAGTATTAGCTACTACAAACTCACTGCGCAAGCGAACTGGTAAACAGAGCAGATTAGAGACTCTCGCACTGGTATTGAATGATGCTCCCCATCAACAGTCTGAAATTAATTTAGCGGTTTTTATAATTTTTGTCATAGAGATGCTACATAAAAATATAGATAATATATCGATATTTATATCAAATCAATACATTTTACATATTTTCTGTTTCAGAATTAAACCCGCAAGTTCAAAGTTACTTGGAAGAGCACCTATTGAAATCGATCACTAACAAACTGAGCTTCCTGTCGCGGCCAGCCGGCGCTCCAAACGCAAAAATACTACGTCGCCGTATGTCCGTGAAAGGCGCTATTAAAAAGACGCGTTGCATCAATGTCGATTGTAAGTGTTTATGATTCTCTCTTTACAAAGCTCATCAATCAGTGTACCAAAGCGTTAAGATAAGCTCTGAAGCCGCATCAATTAATAAAATAACTCTATCACTATTTTATCAATACGGTAATAACTTCTATTTGCAGCGGAAACCTTAGGAATGGAAGGAGAATATGTTGGTCCACATCTTGAGAGGAAACCCTCCTGGCTGGAAGTGGACCCGATAACGGGCCGTAGTCCATCCCCCGAGGACGCTAAAAAGAAAGTTATAACCAAGTAAGGCATATTGTTCACGACAAAATCATTGCTTAAAAATAAAATTTAAAAAGGTTTTTAAATATACAAATTTATTATTGTTATGAAGGGGTACATCCACAACTTCTTTGGGTATTGTGACACCTGCAATCGAAGTGACAAAAGAACAAACACCGCCACCACCGAAGGGCACAGGTAAGAATGTGGATCTTTTATATCTAAGCAAGTAAAACAGACTACATAGACCACCTGATGGTAAGTAGATGCTGTGAATTAAAGCTGATATCTATAGACCGTACTTTGATTTTGCTCGGACTTTACTCTCGAGCTAAAACAATGTCGGTATTTATGTAGCTAATTTCGAAGTCGTGCTGAGTCCGCGTTTAAGCCAACGAAATCGACGACTAACGATTAACTCAGGATATTAACCAAAACCACCATATTAATTTTAAATTGTTGTTTTTTGTGTTACTCTAATTATTTATAACAATAAATAGGTAGTTTTAGGGCGTCTTCTAGTTTTAAATAGCATTAATCCATGTTTTTACGTAATTTCAAACTTATTTTGAATTGTTTAATATCTTCCTTTTTCTTTGTGATTTTGCACTCTTCTCATCCGTTCCCTTCCACAATTGTCGAACCAGTAAAAAAAACCAGCAATCATATCCAAATATTTCTATTGTTATTAAATTTCTAAATTAGATAGAACTCTTCATATTCTCTATTGTATCACACAGTCCTTAAACAAGCCTGGGTTACAGAGAAAAGCTTAAAGAATTTTGGATTCAAATTTCAGAAGTATAGTTCGAATATTTTATATCGAAGTAAGTAAAACAGACTACATAAACCACCTGATGGTAAGTAGATCCTGTGACTCCAATAGTCAAATACTCAAACTCTACTCAATTTCAAGATGTCGTTAAGTCTCGTGGTGTCGCAGTCACTTTTATTTTGATAGAAATATGTGCTATTTATTATATAGACTTAACGGCATCTTAAAGTTGAAAGAGCTAAGTAAAGTTACAGTCTATATACGTCCCACTTCTGGGCACAGACCTCCCCCTCATTTATGACAGGGTTTTAGGGCAAGAAAATGTCCGCCGCGCTGCCGCATTGCGTGATGATGAACTCCACATGTCTCGTAATATTTTTTGTCTTATTTCTCAGACATGTCGGTTTCCTCACGTGTTTTCCTTCACCGCCTAGCACGTAGTAAATCAGCACTTAAAATTGCAATTATCAATTTCATTCGTGCCGGCGGTCATCGCACTCGGTTTGCTCGCGTACTGTGAATTTTACAACGAGCGCTAACCATCTGAGCTACCACGGCTTCTAACTATTACCCAAATACTATCCCTCAACTAATAATCAAAATAATGGTGCATTATCACTTCTGAGGACTAATATGAAATGATGAGGATTAACGGTAGAAAGGGGGCGTCGTCACAACATAGAAAACGGTACACTAGTCATATTTTGTCATACTATGCAAGCGTGAGTAATCTTTTTTTTACTGACAGTTTCTTAATTTTTTTATCTAACGTGTGAAAACCTAGAAAATAATAATTGATTGACATTTTAGGAGAACTATTTTTTTTACGAATTTTTCATTCGAATTTATTTCAAATTTTCAAATGATGTGGTTGATTAAATACGTAAAAAGTATACATGTAAGAAAAAAATGCGTAAATTTACGAAGTCGTTCGATTAATATTTTATTTTATAATCTTGTAATTATTTTATGAAACTTGAATGTGTGCTTTTCTACTGGCCGAGTCAGTAACTGTCATGGTACGAAATCGGCAATAGAAACAAAAGTTATCTGAAAAAAGTTCAAATTTTATTTTATTTTCATAATCTAGTTAAAACCAATCTTACCAGTCCCGAAAACTGGCGCAAAGTGACCAGCGCCTGCCATAAACCTTTTGGTAATCCACATGGTACAATAGAGGAGAGTGTACGCACGAATTGCATGACTTAATTCCTTCCTCTCACTTCCACTATCCGAAAACCATACGCTTGGCTAGCGCCTGCCTCTTTGTTGTTGACGTACCACGCATTCGAACCAAACAGTTTGCTTCATTCTGAATGAGTACAGTAAGAAGTGGTATATTTTGTCACTACCTGTCTTTCCATTAGATTACAATGTGATTGTCTTCAAGGCAAGAGTGAATAGGCTTTTGTAAAGGCAGTGGGCTGTGTCATCTTCGGCTACATAACCACTTTTTTTGTTTTAAGAGTAATGTATATTGGGCTGATTGATCATCTTTCAGGTATTGTAAATAAAAACACACCATCGGTAGGGCGCAACAGGACAACGTCAGAGTCGCAGAACCTCTTGTACGCCGAGCAGGAAACCGACGAACTGATCGTAATGCTTCGTGAAACTGAGAATTTGGACGAGCAGGGCGACATATTGCAGTATTTAGTGGACACACAGGGACTTGATTTTAATACAGGTTTGTTACTGTATTTTTATTTAAAAAGTAAAGTAGCGGTCTACATAAGTTCCGCAGTTAGGGACTGACTTCCTTTCAATTCTGAGAGAGTTTTGGAGCAGAAGAGTTCGCGCGTTATTTCTACTTTCTATAAATGAATAACGTATTGTAGAGGCGTTACATACATAACCTGCACATAAACAAACATCCAGACTTGGATGTTTGTACATATTTGTACCATACATATTTGTTTATGCGGGATTTCAACTCGCACTGCGCCTTGCAACACCAATCTTTTCGCGACTACGCTACCAAACCGTGAATTTCTCATGTCAACTTCGCAAGTCCCTGAAATATATTTTCATAATCAGATGTGCAAGATTCCTCACAGTGTTGTTACTGCCGAGAACGGTCGGCGGGTATTGCGAAAGTATATTTTACTTTTGTACTTTTGTACACAAAAATAAAAGTAGTTTTGCGAAAATAAGTGATATTCATTCTGTAAATACTAGGAGCAGACACAAGCTGGTAGTACAAGTTACTCGACTCCACCGAGTCAGTAATTCATTCTTGGGGCGATGTATACGCTTTTACAACAAAATCCCAGAAAATATACAAAATTTGTCATACACAAAGTTCAAAAATGTTATTAAACTAAGTTTGTATAAAAAGGGTTATTATAATACTTTAAGGAATTTATAGATGATAATAACCCCTGGGAAGGATGATCGCTACCAAGCTATTTCTAATTTGTCTTGTGTTGTTGATTGTAAACATGATTGTAAGCTTTAAAATGTCGTGGTTTTTGTGGTTCTTCCCAGGACAGAGGTTTTTTTTTGCGAACCAGTGGTAAATTAAAAAAGTGACTTTCAATAAGTATTTTTATAATCTACATTGAATAAAAAAGTTTCTATTTCTATTTCTAATAGTGATATAAATTTCATCAACTTTTGTTAAGTTGGAAAATAATAATATTGTAGTTTCCTACCCTCATTCCTAGCAATATATTTTTATAAATATATCTGTTAATTTTTTATCAGGTATGCTAGAAAATGGCAGGCCGGTAACGGTGAAGGACTTGCTCAAAGCACTTTACGAGAAGGCATGCACTCAGAAGCTGTGGGGTCTTGTGCGGCACTCCGCTGGTATGCTGGGGAAACGCGTGGAGGATCTGGCGAAGGCAGTTACGGACTTGCTGGTGCGGCAGAAGCAGATCACGGTGGGCATGCCGCCCAACAACGAACACACTATCACCGCGCCACTGCCAGAGAATGAGCTGCGACAACTGATTCATCTGGTAAGTGCTAATAGAATAGAATATTTTTTCTTCGATAAAGATTATAAATAGTAGTTGTCGATAACTCCCTGCTCTCATAAAAAGCAGCAGGTAACCCAGTGGATTTTTTTAAGTAACACTTTAAATTTAAGCATTCAACCATGAAGGTTAGAGAACAGGAGAACGATCACTACGTACTAAAGCACAGCCCGCATGTCCTTGAAAATTGTAGAATTCATAGCGGCGCTAACGTCGGTGAGTAGTGACTGCGAAGTTAGCTGTTTATGAGTACAAGTAGATGAAGTTAGTCGAATAATGTACAAATTTTCATTTCATTTTTTCGTAGAAAATTTTCATGCTCCGTAATTTTGTATTTTTTGACAAAAAGAAACATTATTTTATTTATTTTATTGTGCGTGGATGTGCAAGTGGTTGAGCATCTGATCGGAAAAATAGACTGAAAATGACTTTCATTGACAGCACTTAGTGATCGCAACGTCTCATTGATGGTGTCCATATTTCTGAGACACTGTTTTCTACGGCGATCGTTCTCCTGTTCTCTAACCTTCATGCATTCAACAATCTAAAAAAGTAATACAAATGTTCAAAGTTTGTCAATAAACAAGCTTAAAAGTTTTATTGTAAATTGTACGAAAAGGGTTATTATAATATCAAGGAATACATGAATGAAAATAACCCTGGGATTGAGTCGATCGCCACCATGCTGGTTTTATTAAAATTCATTTAATAATATCAGCAAAGCAGCTGTGCATTCAATGCTATGTTCCTGTCCTGTGCTGGGACCCAGTAATGTTACAGGTCAGGCATTAAGGTATTTAGTCCTCGGGGGTGACAACGCGCCTTTTTTGTTTGAGGTTGGCTACAAATGTCCATGAGCTAAACTTTTCATCAGGTAAACTGCTAGCTCGTTCGCCACTTTAATACAAATTACAAAAATATATGTTTATTGAAATATGATCATTTTTTTTTGTTTAAAATTTGAATTAATTTTTATCATAAAGGAAAACATGTTTATGACAAACTTTTAGCGACGACATCTGAATGAAATCCATTTTAGTGATTACCTCTTTGTGTTTACCATAATATTTAATCATGATGTGCATGCTGCATTTCACTGTGTTCCATTCATCAACATCTGAGAGGAGCCGCTTATTCGCAAGATATCATAAAAGTCGATCTACAAAAAAGGAAGAAAATATTGATGTTTTTTATTTCGGTGGATGTATTGATATACAAGGTGTAAGTGTAAACACCGTTATCACTAAAACCATAGGTAATTGGTTTTAATATAAAAATATTTATCCGATTTTTTTTAAAAAAATGCTATTTTCTTTCATAAAATTTAAAAAGTTTCTGTCCGACACCGTCCGTAAATTCATGGATACCCTATGCGCCCGAGTAACGCAATCACTGTAAAGATCACCACCCGCCCTACCTACCCGCACAACTTTCCAATAAAAACACAATAGGTACACATAACCTGTGATGTAACTTTTTCTTCATACTTTGATCCTGGCTTAGGACAGACAAAAATTGAGGAAATAAGGAAAAATTGAGATTTTACTAAAAAAAAAGTTGTTATTTTTCATTGAATTTACGTTCTATAAGTGAAACCAAACCACTGGTTTCAAGGATGACGGTGTTTACACTAACACCCTGTAGTTGTACGTAGTCGCACAACTTATTTTTGGGTAATTTTTGGCTCAATATAATATATTTACCAAGAAAGTAACCTTTATTAGAGAGGAGGCTCGTGCCTAGCGGTGGGACGTATATAGCCTGTACTCAACCTTACGCATGCCGAGACTATAATAATGACGCATATTTTTTTTAGAATTTTGATGTGCTAAGTTGCTATTATGAATAGGAATACAAATGAGTGTCTCAATTACAAATAAGCAAGTTTACTTTATCTGCCAGGATATCACTTATAAAATAAAAAAAAATTATATACACAAAAACAAAATATACTAAAGATCTAATATTTTGTTTCATGCAGTCGTTTCGTCGAGAAAATCATGCTAATCAAACTAAAAAGGTAACAACAAACGATTTCATTCCAAATAAATACTTCGAAACAACTTATCCTTTAAGTTTTGATTTATTTACCTTATGTTTATTTCGTCATCATCATCATTATCATTGCTACATCCTTTCACAAGTTTTTTTTTTTCAAATATAGTATGAGGGACAATTGAGCACACAGCACTCTTGATGTTAAGTGGATGCTGTGGCACATAGACATTTACTTCTCTCCACGATTACGAATCTAAATGCATATACGTTGCAACCCCTGAGGACTGAGATGGAATGCCTAGTTTCAGTAAAAAGAGTTTTTCACAAGTCCACTGCTGAACAAAGGCCTCCCCAAGCAGTGTCACAAAGCGTATATTTATTTATGTGTATAAAAAATTTAAATTTAACTTTCTATATGCTTAGACAATAGCCCAATTGTATTTACTATTATAAGATTATGAATGATTTTTATCCCAATAACATTGGATATTGGTTTTATTTTTAATGTATGTCACTAACAACTCCCTATAATTAAAGTTATGTTAAAATAAACTATTCCTCAAATAACTTTCCCTTCTCTGTTACTCCGATAAAACCCGATAATCCAAAAATATATGGTTTTATTTGTAAATAGTAACCATGACACCAATTTGTTAAGAGACGATAATGTTAGTGCTTATAAACAATGGATGACCCATATTTTAGGCTTACGGCGACGACGAAAGTACAGCGATGTTAACTCAAGAGCTTCTCGTGTACCTCGCTATGTTTATACGAACCGAACCACAACTGTTTTTAGAGATGCTACGACTTCGTGTTGGACTTATTATACAGGTCATATTCATCAAACTCTTATGTTTTAATTTAGTATATTGGTATATAATAGTAATTTAGTATATGACAGTAGTATTGCTTTACCCCCGGCATATAAGGAACCATTATAAATTTTTCTTTCTGTTTATCTGTCCGAAATTGTCACAGTTTTAAATATTCTAGTTTTAATATAATTTTTTCTTGCTATCTTTTGATACAGGTCTCTTTAATAATAAATGATGTAACAGTTTCTTATATTATGTATTCAATTTGTGTCCTATTCCAACAATTGATACAACTGTGAGAGAATTATAAAGGTTCTTTGTACCATATTTTTTGGTTTAATTATCAACCCATTCGCTGTCCCGTGTACATATAGTTCATTGGTATTGTCTTACTATTGTGTCTGAAAATCGGACAGTGAAAGTGTTAAAATGGTTAAAACCAAGCATTATTGGTTTTGACCACCTTTAATCATTAAGGATTATTTTCGAACTATCAAGTTTAAAGTTTTTTTTTTTTTAAATGAAAAGCACATGAAACATCAGGACTTTAAAATAACTTTATTTTATCGCAATAAAAACCATAAGTTAGATTAATTCAATTGTTCATTACAGGTATTTTTGTATTTTATTTATAATGAAGTTCATTTAGAACATGGATTTCATTTCTTTGTTCTTTTTTCTTTTTTTATTTCAAAAATGTTTCCTCCATACCAGGATTTTCTCCTGTATTGTGGCAGTCTACATACATAAATTTCACAAGGACAAGCATCCAGACCCGGAATAGTTACTTGTAGGCCATACAAATACTTGTTCCGTGCGGGATTCGAACCCGTGTCGTTCAGCGCCACAACTCATTGCTAAGCCACTGCGCCACGTAGCCGTCAAATATACATTATAATTAGATAATACATTCTTTTAGCTCGAGAGTTATTATGTTCTGTTCCTAAACAAAAAATACCTTCATTTCATATACAGGTAATGGCGTCAGAATTGTCACGGACATTATCGTGTAATGGCGAAGAGGCTTCCGAACATTTATTAAATTTATCTCCATTCGAGATGAAGAATCTACTGTATCACATTCTTAGTGGAAAGGAGTTCGCGATCAACAGCGGCAAGTGACACTTATTATTTTCTTTGTCTTTTTTTTTAACTGCACAACTAATGAAGGTTACCATATATACATAGATATATAAAATTATAAAAGTCTTAAAAAAATGTGAACTCTATATTAAATATGTAAAAAAACCTGTCTAATCCGTGAGGATGCTTTTAGCTACCGTGATTTGATTTTGTTCATGTAAGAGAATAAACAATAAAATCAACCCTCTAAAAAAATATATCAAAGATACCGTCGCCGACCATGGTGTTACCAGACTTTAAATCTTTTAAGCAAATTATAACAAAATTCACGTATTTTAAATAGCAACAGTAACATTTACCTATTTGTTGAATGAAATGAAATGCCTGCCCCTTTCGGATCGGATAGAGTATTTTTACATATTACATAATATGTATCCTAATACAGCTAATTGATGTTGCCTTAAGGGTTCACCAATCTTTAATCAACTCCAGACTCGCCTGTCTATTGAGTCTGATGAAATGGTTGGAACGGTTTTCGACATGTTGACATACTGCCTCTTCTTAAAAGAATATATAGCTGATGTGAAGCGTTGTCACTCTGAAAACTTCCCAGATCCTACCAAGGATGATTCGCGAGGTTATTGTAATAAAAAAAATCCTAACTTCAAATCTGAATGCTACCATCGGCTTGGGAATCCCGTAATTAATAAAATGAATTCCAAGCCCTTAGCATACTACTGCAAGAATTCAATATACTGTAAGGTCTCAATAAGATCAAAAAATATTATTCATGTTTCATCAGTATGTAATTTGTATCTAAATATAATTTCCAAAACACACGATTTCCAAAAAAAAAAATACCGAGGAAAGCTCGGTCATCCAGGTACTTATATTAAATATAATATGTTGGAAATTTAAAATAAGCTTTTTACTTCCTGACGTGTTTAGTGCTTTGCAGCACCCACGGTCACGGGGGGACTGAGGTGATTGACGTCCCGGTTTCAAAGTTATAACGTAGTACCTTCAGCTTTTTAATTATAACTTTTGGTCCGATTTATGCAGAATGAGTTTACTATCTTAAAGTCTTGCAGTGATATGCTTGGGTTTAGTTTTAATTTTAATAATACAGGATCATAAATGCGATAAAATTATATTATAGTATTCGCGTAAATATAAGAAATTCTTAAATAATTGAAGTAATACGTACTTACGAACTAGAACAGCTATCTCAAACAAAAAATGTGCGCTACTCTGATTTCGCGCGGTAACATAGGTAGAATGACCCGTAGGTAATAGTAGATTGTATTGTTAAATACGTAAATTATATCGAGAACAATATTTAAATTTTGTCATTTATTTTGTATATTATATTTGCTTATTTAATATACTATTACATAATATTATATCACAATTACATTTTAATGATATTTTTATCTGAATATTTTAAAAGTTATCTATGTCAAATATAAAAAAACATACTAAATGTATGTTTAACAAAACTTATTAATGTAACATTTAAATTACAAATATGTTTATTTAAATTAGAATAAGAGTCGTTCATAAATGCTGGGCACGCGAGAGTTAAAAATGGACGAATTTATTCCACTTTTACTTTGATGTGGAAGCCTAAGAATAAAATGAAAGAATAATAAGCAGATTGAAAACTGAAACATTTTGTCTAATTATAATAACTTATATATGTTTCTACAAAAAATGTGTATAATAATATATTCGTCCTATACTTACAGAAATTACCCACAGAAATGTCGCATATGAACTTATTAATTTCATAATCTATATTCCATGACACAAGATGGCGTCTTAGGAATAATTTGTTTTATTATTGTTCTATAATACTTTTTTATTGATTAAGTATCTTATTAAGCGATGAAAAGTAATTCCTTGGTTTTTACTGACATTTCTTGAATTATTTGTGCAATATCTAAGTACACACGACGGCATATTTTTATCAAGAGATTTTTTTTTAAATCAACACAACACGTGACAACTCTACAAGCGCCTAGCTAGTGACTGATTAAAGTGCGGTGTATGCACCGCAGTTGAGTGGAACAGAGTAGCTGAATGCAGTGTCGCCTCTAGTACGTAGTACATAATAGCTTAATGTATTAAATTAAAAAATTCGAACTTTGATCGTATTCAAACAGTGTATTTTCTCTTGTTATACAACAATTGGATCTATCATCTTTTTATGCAAAAGTGACGAACACACTTTCGACCTTAAGTGTATGCTGTTTTCCATAGAAACCTACGATTCTGTTTACCCTAAGAATCAAAATGACGTCATCTTTGTCACATCTGAAGGTCTAAGATCTCGTTACTAGCAAAGAGGGACTAGTAGTATTCTAGTACTATTTTATATTATTACAATATTGTTATAACATCGATGGAGTTGACAATTTTGAAAACGAGTTTAATGTACATACTAAGTTTTGGAACAAATTTAAAAAAAATATGTTTATTGAATGTTGCTAAGAAACGTCGTTTCCTTTCCAGCAAACTCCCTGTTTCTAATAAAGGAAAAACCCGTTAAGGATAAAGGCGAGTTTTGCTTGTCATCGCACACATTTTGATCTGTGTTTTTGTTTCTAACAAGTGCAATCAGGATAATTTAGATTTTTCCTATATGTGACATGCATGTACATTTTTATTAGTATTAGTAGCATGACATTGTAAAATAAACAAGGCTGTTCTCAACTTTTTAATCTGTGGAATCTTTCTGTTATTTACATGATCTTTATACATATCAAATATTTTTTTTATCTAATAACTTATACTTTATTCATATTCGTCATATGATCGAATTTTTTATTGATGAAATATTTAATGTAATAGAAGAATACAGTTTTAGCATTCAATTGACACCAGCATCAATAAACATTGTATAATTTGAATTTTGAAGAGAATTAGGCTCTTTTCCAGAAGGTCCCCAAGTAGAGTCGTTCTAGAAAAGCCGTTAAAAATAACCCCTTTGTCGTATCTCCTCAGTTTTAGAGCACTCGCCTCGTTGCCTCAGCCAGGTAGCCTCAGCTCGGAATCCTCCGCGTTGCCATATCCAATGACGTTCAGCTCCGCGGTCACTTGGAAGAGAAGCCCAAATTGTCCTCTAAATGGCTTGACGTGCTTTGTAAAGCGGAACGGTATTTCATACTGGTACACAGTTTGCAACTTTTACGAAGCAGGTTCGGCCTCATATGGAATACTGTTCTGATCTCTGAGCCGCAGCCGGCAGGTTGTCTCTCTCATCGTTTCCACGTGATCGCATCCAGCGATGAGCGGGTCGAATCGTCGACGACCGAGTTCTTTCTGATCGGCTTGATTCACTGGCGCTGCGAAGAGATGTTGCAATCTTTTGCATTTTTTATCGCATTTACCACGGGAAGCGCTCAAAAGAATTGTTTGGAGTAAGTCCAGCCGCCAGTTTCCATCAACGCACATCGCGACAAAATATCCGATATCATCCGTTGTGTGTTTTTTTAGATGTTTTCTTCCTCGCAAGACTTCTTTTTGGAATCGCCTACCAACGACTAACTTTTCGAACCAATACGACTTGGAGACCTTTAAGAAACGAGCTTACTCCTTTTTTAAATGCCGGCAACGCACCTGAACCTGTACTATAAAGGACTAGATGGATTAAATTTAGTGGCACCACTACAATTGTACTACGCTATAATTAAATGGTTGGGTATATTTTTATCTCGATAAATTGCTGTTGTAATAATAATCTGTTGGGCCAAAAATTTCCGTGCATATCTTTTTAAATTAAAATACTTTAAACACACCTTTTTATTCAGACCAAACGCGAATATTTTCATAATAGGTGGAAAATATTTGCGTTTGGTCGAAATATATTTGTGTGGATGCATGTTCGCGTCATTAAGTTCTAACGTCCGATTCCTAATATGTTTCTTTTATTTTGATAATACGCCTTTTAAATAATTCTATAATATTTATTTTAGGTTTACATAAGTGTGACCACATTTCCTCCTACAGTTAAAAGCTTAAATGGCGCACTATTCATCTCACAAGTTAGTATTTGTATTTAAACGAGCGGAGGAATTTCGTCTTATTTATTCAGTTATCTTGTTTGTCGTGATTATGTCCATTGTAGTCATTTCATTCGACCAGTGTTATTACATCTCGGTCAACAATATCGCTGTTGATTTATACACATCTATTTTAATGACATCACATAATTACCATCTTTCACCTTACACTACATGTGTGTTCGTGACACTTATTACGATATGGCCGAATTTGAATTGTATTATACTGAATTTATAGTGCGTTACGCTATTTATTTGCTATTAGTGATTAAGTGCGTAAGCAAGATAGCAAGTGACACTTCTAATCTCATACTTTTATTTTCAACAATAACCTCTTAATGTATTTTTGGCATATGCTTGGCACCTGCCAACATTTATTCATAACACCCAGGATGGACTGCCAGAGTGTATTACATAGCATGAAGTCCGCCTTAAATACCCTTTGGTTTAAGGTATTGCATTTAAGTTAAAAAAATTATAAATACTTATGACTTTCAGATTTAAAACCTACTAAAGTTATACTGACTGATCATTATTAGAGCAAGAATTATTTAGACGATTAAACCATTATGCTAAATAGCTACAACAATAAACCATAATGCAAAAACTTCATGCACGACATTTTTTGCCATTTAACATAACTGAGATAAAACGCATGCGTAAGAGTACAACATACCACTATTGAACAAAAATAATAGTCCATCTTGAAACAGTATGAAATTTTGGAATCGAATATAACATAAAAACGTTTATTATCGTTTTTATTGCTTATTGTATAACAGCAAAGTAACTTATATTACTAAGAAAATATCCTTGTAAAGACTATTCAACTATAAACATCGGAAACATTATTTTAACACAAACCATTTACAAAATATGTAAACGAATAGCGCTACAAATTTTATGCGTAAAAAAGTTAACAATTACAATGTGTTTGACGGTGAAGAAAAACGTATTTGAGATTAATGTTAATTATTATTACTTGGAATTAATAGTTTACTTGTTACTTTTGTAATCATTTGTGTACCTAGTCAATTATAATTATTAAAATAATTTGAGTAAATAACATCAATTTGTAATCGTAAAAAAAATTCCTTAACAGTTTTCATTTGTTTCATTATTAATGCAATTCTACGTTTCTTATAACTCGACTGTTTTCCACTTCATCCTGTCAATGTTTTTATCTTTCTGATTGATTTAATTTTAAATTAAATAATGAAAGCTCTTTCAGTTGGCCGTGGAAACTTCTCCATAGTGAGCAATAAATCAAATCGTTATGGAAAGAAATCACAGATCATTCTGGAAGGGCAGTCACTTCAAAGCGGGATTGACGATAGTAAGTATGAAATATTAAACGTCATACCTCCTCCTCTCCTCAACAGAGAGTAAACAGTCATGAGCCATGTAACATAGAGGTCATTGGCCTCTTCCATAATACAGGGGTTTGACTTGATCGCTATTATTGGCAGGCGATTTATATCAGACGTGAGCATCACTACCGACGTAATTAAAAGTCTATACGACGATTTATAGTGAAATAACTAATGTAAGTAAAGTCCGCGCACACTATCTTGGCCGAGCTGAAGTTAGTCGCGAGTGCCTGCGCAGATATAGTTTTTAAGAACAAAAAAGATGATTCGGGTGGTAACTAAAACTAGAGATATTGCGCTATTACAATTACGTAAATAATCGGTGATCATTTATTATCGATTATGATTTGATTTGGTTTTATGTGGTTCATTGACGTGTAAATGCAACATGTCGTTTTAAATACAATGGTTATTATGATGCACATTAAAGATTTTATTGAAAAGTTTAAAGTTATATAATTTTGAGGTTACTGAAAGAATTCGTTGTCCCCGCTAATATCGTGTGGTTGAGCGACAGGCTGTTCCCTCGAATCCAGCTCGAAGAAACCAGAATGGTGAGGCCAATTGCCCCGATTCTATATATTGGAACTGCTTTTTTTTTTGAAATACATAGATATTTTCATAATATTAATAATTTTCAATGTAACTAATACTTTTTTATATAGGATAGGGTGACAAATGAGCACACAGTCCACCTGATGGTAAGTGGTTGCTGTGGCCCTAGACATCTACATCTCTCAATTATGAATCAAAATGCAAATGCGCTGTCACCCGTGAGGACTTAGATGGAATGCCTCGTTTCCAGTAAAAAGGGTCTCCGGTTCTCTACACTCACCATACGAATCACAGCAGCATTAAGCTACTATTTGACGCTGGTATTCTGTGAGAGCGTGGTCCCTCCCCGGTCGAGCCGACCCATTCGTGCTACAACTATACTACTAATATAATTGCAGCATGGCTCTACCACGTAATAAATAATACTGTAATCGATATAGACAAAACAAACTGTTCTTCTAAGCAATATTAGAAGCGAATATGAAGTGGCACATCTCTACCGACTAAAGTCCAGTCGCGGGGCAGGTAGAATTTTGTACAATGACCTCATTGCCTGCTGACAGTGGTCACAAACATTTTTATGTTAAGTGTAGTTTATATGAAATATATGAAGGAGAAAAAAATAAATTTACTAACCTATTAAATAAATTATTGGTATTATATAAATTGTTTATTTCAGTATAAGTGTTTATTCAGTATAATATAATAACAGTTATAAAAATCGAGTTACTATTACTAATTTGGCGGAAAAAAAAAGAAAATTCAAAATTCAGAATTCGATTTCTCTGTATCGGAGTTATTGCTTTCCGATGACGTCCTGCCTGTCACATTTATTATAAAAGAATCAACAGTTTTGTTTACATTAAACTTAATAAATTAACAAAACTATTTAACGATTAAAACAATATAACTAAAATTAACAAACAACAACAAACTAATAATAGATAACTGAGATAACTGTGTCCGAAAACTGAGCGATCACTAACGCATCCCACGATGGAATGTCGTGTGTTCGTTATTTAAAAATTACGTGCAAACAAGAACAAACCTTACAGTCTCTGGTAAAATGCTTACAATCCCTGAAGAAGGCGGTCATTGCATCTGTGCGAGCGAGACGCATTATACTTACTCGGGAGTGACAAACACAGGTAATAACAGGTCAACGTACGAAATTCTTCCTTCTTGGCGTCCGGACTTTAGCATCTGTACATGCGTGAATGTCTCGGAAAGTCAACTTCAGTCCAGGCAAGATAGAACGCGCAGACCGTACCATAAAGTACAACTAAAAACTATTGTAAATACGCGCCTTAAGTATGCAAGTTAAATTTTGGTTAAGTTTAAGCAACTGTTGCAACTTAATATTATTCTTTATGGATATTATTTTTGAAGCAGTCTTACGCTTTATTTTTACACCATAATCAATAACTTTTAATGCGTCTTGAATTTTTAATTTCGAAATTTGTAATTAATAATTTATTTTGTTACTTAATTTCTACGCTATTTAAATTTTATTTAGCAAAGTGATTTTTGTATTTAATCGCCTTAAAAAAGTACTTATAGATGACTTCAACTATATTTTCTTAATCAATAACAATTACCTACGTGGTTAGTTAATCGTAGCGTGTCATTATTATCATCATCACTAAAGCCTTTCACAAGTCAACTGCTGAACATAGGTCTAATCCAAGTGATGTCACTAACGGTCTCGTGCCACCTGCAGCCACCAACTTACCGTATATGTTACCGGACTACACTCCGCTTACCGATTCATGAAAGCCACTCTAGAACCTTTCGGCTTAATCGGTTTTCGGTTCGTCGAGATATATTTTTTACGTAACATCTTGTTATACAATAATCTTATTACTGCAATTTACCACCGTTTCATTATGAGGAGAGGTCGAAAAAGGCACAACGACAGAAAACCTGCTAGCTGTCATATATTTTGATCGTGTTTTATATGTATTTAATAATAAATTGATGGGATTTAGTACATGTATAGAAAATAAGGAAGAAGCCTGTGTAAACATATCAACCATTTATAGACTAATAAGGAGAAAATATGTAATTTAAAAAATATTTTTTCCAATACAGCACAAATAGAACAAGACCGGCAAGGGCAGTGGTTACGAAGGCGCCGTCTCGACGGAGCACTGAATCGCGTCCCCAGAGACTTTTACCCACGCGTTTGGGGAGTTTTAGAGAAGGTAATATCCCTATCAAACAATGATTGCGTCGTTGCTCTAGCGGTTGTAAAGGCTACTGGTGATCATGAGGTCCTATGTTCGAATCCCAGCTCAGGCCAAAAAAATCAGTTATTAAGTATTTCCGTCACGAAATTCTCAGTAGCTGCCCGGTGTCAAGAAGTTGACGGTGTCGGTGACCCCCGTGCCTCGGAAAAGCAAGTAAAGCCGTTGGTCCAGCGCCTGATGTCTCTGGTCATATCGAATTACCATCCCATCCGGATTATAAGGGTAAGGGAATAGAGAGTGCTTTTGTTTTTGCGCATACGATTGGGCACTATAATCCCTTCCTGCGCTTGCGATGATTATTTGTGATAAATATATGTTATATATTGTAGGCTTATGTTAAGCAGTGGACTTTAAAGGTCTTTAATGATTATGATGTATATATTATGTGTGTTATGAATATTTTATAAAAGATGGTAATCTTTCAATAGTATTTTAAAATGCTATACTAGTTACTACAACTTTAGCAATTAATTAAACTTCGTTTTGTAGTTTCACGCTACTAAACTAATCGATTCACGCTGGCAGCACAAAGAGATTTTTCATTGCAATATTAAGTGTTTGATTACCCACTTGCTCTGTGGTAAAGAAAACCCTTGCAGAAGGCTATTTATTGTTCAACTAGTTGAGTCAATTATTACATTGACATGACTAGTATGTCGTTACCATTTTATACGTGGTAGAGCCATGCTGCAGTTATATTAGAAGTATAGTTATAGCACGATTGGGTCCGCTCGACCGGGGAAGGACCATACTCTCACAGAATACCAGCGTAAAATAGTAGCTTAATGCCGCTGTGTTTCGCATGGTGAATGTAGAGAACCGGAGACCCTTCTTACTGAAAATGAGGCATTCCGTCTTATTCCTCACGGGTGACAACGCATCTGCATTTTAATTCGTAATCGAAGATAAATATAGATGTCTATGGGCCACAGCAACCACTTTACATCAGATCGACTGTGTGCTCGTTTGTCACTCTATCCTATAAAAAAATATGTACGACTATGTTATTACTCTAATGAAATTACACCCCTTAAATAAAACAGATTATGATTAGTTGTGAAAAAATAACTGCTGGTGTATGAGATCTAAACAGTAAATAAATATTGAAGAATATTCACAAATGCACACAAACTTCTTGACATAGATATAGAAATATGCATTGCATATATGCATACTACTTTTAAATAATGTTACGAGCTTGAGGTTCGTGACAATAAAAACTGCCTATTGAATTACGAAAATTGACACTTTAATTACCGAACACCAATTTCAACATAAAACACACTAATAATAAAACACGATTACACTACTCTCAATAAATTTAATTACAATACTGGCTCGGTCGCAGTCCTTACCGGCCTTATATAGGGCTTCTTCTACTGAAACATCTAGAATGTTCGAGTATATACCGGTCCCTACTGACTAGTTGTAAAAAGTTCTAGTATGGAATTTTCTAGAAAGCTCTCCTATTTCAGCTACTCGATACTAGATGGCGTTAGGTAACTCGCCATGCACTGCCTCTTCCTAAAATATGCTAGTGTCTAGCATTATCGGCCCCGCGCCAGTCGATCCACATGGACGATCTTAGGAGTATGTCTTGCACCTTTCTGTATCCAGTAGATTACGTCATTAATGCTTCTCACAATCCGGTACGGTCCGTCTCATTTAGCTTGAAGCCCAGGAGATTTCCCCTTGCTGCGGACTGGATTGTGCAACCACACTGGTGAACCTTCATCGACCGCTTTGTTGTTCATTTTGCGGTGATACCGGGTTTTTATCTTTTCAGACATTTGCTGGCCCGATTGTATGACGTGTTCATAAATGTCATTCATTTTGTTCCGCATGTCATTTGCATAATCGGTTCTACATCGGGTGTTATTCCGGTGCTCAGGTCTTCAGGCAACCGTAATTCTCTTCCAAAGTTCGCGAAAGCTGGTGTCACTGATGTACTTTCGTGAACAGCGCTTCGATATAACAACAAAAACTGTTGTATGTGCTCGTTGCCGATTTTCAACAACTTTTGCTAGATACCAGCAACGGTAGCCTAGTGGCAGGGCGCGGACCGCGAACTCAAAAGGTCGCGGGTTCGAATCCACCATTCGACTACTGTCGTGAACCACTCCTAACACAAGCATTTTCAGCTTACCAGGAGTGGTTAAAGGGAATATTAGTAATGTTAGTTAATAGGATTACTAATATTTAAAAAAAATACCTCTCCAATGTCTGATTAAATCGTTCTACCATTCCATCAGATTGCAGGTGGTAAGAATTTGTTCTTGTTTTATAAGTACCCATAACTCAGCAAGTTTCCTGGAATATTTGAGACTCCTAATTCCTTCCTTGATCGCTGTGAATCTAAAGGTACTCCAAAACAACAGAAGACTTCATGAAGTACTTTATTTGCAACTGTTGAAGCTTCTCGATTTGGAATGGCAAAGACTTCTGGCCACTTAGTGAAGTATCCCATCACAATCATAAAAAACTTGTTACCACTTTCACTTTCCGGAAACGGTCCCGCCACGTCAAGGGCTATCCTCTCCCTTGGTGCACCAACATTGTACAATTTCAATGCACCTCTACTACGAATCTGACTGTCACTCCGGATCTTCATGAGCTCGCGTTCTAGGTTTTGAAGGTGTTCTTCAAACGTACGGCATTCGATGATGATGTCATGTAGACCAGACAGGCATCGCCATTTAGCCCGGTAAGTACAAGTTCCATAAACTTTTTAAATGTTGCCGAAGCATTGCATCCAAACGGTATAACTTTAAATTGCCACACACTCTTTTCTGTCGAGAATGCAGTTTTGTCCTTGTCCTCAGGGTCAATTTTAACTTGCCGGTAGCTACTTTTCGGGTCTAGCGTGCTAAACCACTTTATTCCTGTAAGCATGTCCAGCTTGTCATCAACTCTTGGCAAGGGATAGCTGTCCTTTTTCGTAAAGTCGTTCAGACGGCGGTAGTCAACACAAAACCGCATGTTGCCGTCTTTCTTCTTAACCAGCACCACAGGTGAACACCATGGACTGGATGAAGGTTCAATAACACCATCCTTCACCATTTCCTCAACCATGGTTTCCTCATCTTTTTCACATGCTGCCGGCAATCTTCTTGGCCGCTGACGGATAGGAAATTTTTCTCCTGTGTTTATTTTGTGTTGAACTAAGCCAGTTTTCCCTATATCAGCATCGTTTGACAAGAAAAATTGGCTTACTTGAGTAACAACTTCTTCGCCTTGACCATTTCATTTGGAGACAGAACGCTGCGACAGTCTTCTAAAATTGTGGTCACTCTCGTTTGTGTTAAAAGGCCGGGAACGCATCTACAATCCCCCTGGTGTCGCAGTGTTCATGGGCGGCGGTAATCACTTACCATCAGGTGAGCCGTATTCTCGTTTGCCCCCTCTCCTATATAAAAAAACGATGAGCTTGCCCAGGATTCCGAGGAAGACTAACCGGAACAATTGTTTCCGATCTCAGCGGAAGAACAATCTTCTATGGCTGTACACTTTCCCTGGTAACGCTCCTTCCACAAAAAGTTCCTCTTGTCCACATTTCAAAACACCTTGCTTAACGTCGATCTCACAACAATTCTTACTCATAAAGTCTAGGCCCAGGATACAGTCGTCCATTATAGCAGCCACGATGATATTATGCAGGTAGATCATGTTGCTTAGCTTCAACTCGCATCTCCTTCTCTCCACGGACGGGTATGCCCTGACCGCAAATTAATATGTTTTCGGATGTATACGGAGTTACATAAAAGTTGAGAACTGACAACCGTCAACCGTGCGAGAGGCTCCAGTGTCTGTGGTCAGTTTATACGGCATTCCGTTGACCTCGCCCTTGATGATTGGACTGTTCCAATCATGGGTTTGTTAGATCAAAATCCTTGGGGCTTTTTTAACATCAGCCAACACCTGCTCTGCAGTTCTGGCTTTTACTCGTTTCCCTGCTGCTGCTGGGAGGTGCTGTTAGCCGCACTAGCCTCTCGAGATCGATCACCTTCCCTTTCTACAGTTCGCTTAGGGCAGCTGGATCGAAGATGGCCCCTTTCCCCATCATCCTTTATTGCGGTCGCGAACTGTAGCTGATACAACCTCCCTGACACGATGGGAACGATAATCCTGCCGCACGGCTTCCACCTCCAGTGCATGGGCCAAGGCGTCCTTAAGCGTCTCGTGGTGCCCGAGCCTCACAGCAACTCTGACTTCAAGATCGCGTATCCCGTCGATGAATGTCTGCACCAGGTTACCTTCAATGAGCGCAGGTACAAACCGGTATGCTTTTCGGACCAGCTTTTCCACCTCAAGGGTCCACTGCTGCAGGTATTCGTTGCACTGCGCACGAAAGACGTGTTCTAGGTGAGCGTATCATATCTCGCCTCCAATGCCTGAAGGAGCTGCTCGTAAGTTACTTCCTTACCGATAGCTTCCAGAACAGTTAAGGCCTGGTCACGCCGGTCTAGTTTGAGAGCAGTCATGGCCAGACTTTTATTCCAGCCGTTCGCCTTCATGAGAGCCTCGAACTGGATTTTGTAGGCCGACCAGAAATAAGTCCCGTTGAACGGTGGCACGTAGTAAAGGTGTGATAGCTACTACGGGAGCTGTAATTCCATCCCCAAGTTTGAGGTCGTTCAGCGTTTTCTTCACGTCAGCCATCACGTTGTCAACCCGATTGTTCACTTGGTCGATTCGGGTGTCAGCTTCCGACAGCCGGTTGTCATATTGAGCAACACTATCCTTAACCCCCTTATCTCTTACCCGAAGGTAACGTGAAGGTCCTTCATAAGGAGTATCTGCTCTTCGTTATCGCGTTTGAGCTGCTCTTCCAAACGACGGGCCTGTTCCTCCTTTCGGCGGGCCTGCACCTTCAGCATCATTATCAGAGCACCTAAGTCAGGTGCTGCTGATGTAGGAACTGCTAACGGGCCGGCCTTTGTGGCCGGCAGCTAGCCCTGCGTCGTTGCACCACCAAATCGTCTCCTGCTGGCGTTGACTTCATGTACGGGTACCCTCCTCTCACAAACTTGCTTTGCCTAAGTCGTCCTTAAGTAAAATCGGCATGATTAATTCCCACTTCTGACACTAATTGTTACGAGCTTGAGGTTCGTGATAAAACTGCCGATTGAATTACCAAAATTGACATTTTAATTACCAAACACCAATTACAACTTAAAATGGCTTTACGTGGTAAAGCCATGCTGCAGTTATATTAGCAGTATAGTTGTAGCACGAATGGGTCGGCTCGACCGGGCTATACTAGTTACTACAACTTTAGCAATTAATTAAACTTCGTTTTGTAGTTTCACGCTACTAAACTAATCGATTCACGCTGGCAGCACAAAGAGATTTTTCATTGTTAAGTGTTTGATTACCCACTTGCTCTGTGGTAAAGAAAACCCTTGCAGAAGGCTATTTATTGTTCAACTAGTTGAGTCAATTATTACATTGACATGACTAGTATTTCGTTACCATTTTATACGTGGTAGAGCCATGCTGCAGTTATATTAGAAGTATAGTTATAGCACGATTGGGTCCGCTCGACCGGGGAAGGACCATACCCTCACAGAATACCAGCGTCAAATAGTAGCTTAATGCTGCTGTGTTTCGTATGGTGAGTGTAGAGAACCGGAGACCCTTTTTACTGGAAACGAGGCATTCCACCTAAGTCCTCATGGATGACAACGCATCTGCATTTTGATTCGTAATCGAGGATAGATGTAAATGTCTATGCACTTTGATTCTTAATTGAGAATGAATATAGACGTCTATGGTCCACAGCAACCACTTACCATCAGGTGGACTGTGTGCTTGTTTGTCATCCTATCCTATAAAAAAACACAATTGCACTACTGATCATTTTAGTTCGCAGTTATATCGCTTCGAAGTATTCGCTTGAATCGCCAATTCATTACTGACTCGGTCGCAGTCCTTACCGGCCTTATATAGGGCCTCTTCTACTGAAACATCTAGAATGTTCGAGTAGATACCGGTCCCGACTGACTAGGTGCAGAAAGTTATAGTATGGAATTTTCTAGAAAGCTCTCCTAGTTTGGCTACTCGATACTAGATGGCGCTAGTGGTAACTTGCCATATACCGGGCATTAATTATGGCGCTCAACAATAATAATATTTTTTATTACTTCTAGTGCCATGGCCTCGTCATCCAAGGCAAAGTCCTGCAGCGGAATTTGACACAAGAGATGACACCAGGAGAGTTGAAATTCGCCCTCGCCGTGGAAACGGTCCTTAATTCAATCCCTCAACCGGAGTACAGGCAGTTAGTGGTCGAAGCGCTTATGGTGTTGACTTTAGTGGTTGAATATAAGGCCGCGAACAATTTGGGTGGACTGATCACCGTGGAACACTTGGTCCACAAGGCGAATGAAATATTCTTGGAAGATCAGGTAAATATGATTCTTTAGTATTAATAAACTGCGCATAAGGATTGGTGTCGTAAGAGGCGACTATGGAAAATGTCAAAAAATGTTATAGCTTTAGATAGACGTCGGTATAACCATCTTGTTTACTCCGAACGTAAAATACTCTGATCGAGGACGAACAGTAAAATCAAAGGGCTCACACCTATGACGCCTGCCAAGGTCACGATTAAGGCAAATACTCCTTGCCCATTGTTCCATGTCCGGCAACAGAATATTAATAACTATAAATGTACAGGGATATTTTGCAATAACCGGTCAAATCTACAGAGAATGTTTAGAATCAGTAATATAGGCAAATGGTGAAGAAGAATTAAAAAATCTCAAACATTCTGTCCTTTTTATCTTTTAAATTCAAAATGTGTGGTAATACATTATTTTAACTAATTTTACTGCGCACGTACAAATCCTTAAGGGTCGATCAATAGACAAAAACTTTGTTGCCCGTAAATCACATTCTATTTGGGATAATTTCAAATAAAAGTAAAAGCTTATTTACGTGTATTTTCAAAAACTGCAATAATGTTATATCTATTAATAAATTTGGCTGCTCTTTGAAAAATAACCCTGTATAAGTACCTGCTCTCACAGACGGCATGGCGTGGCACAGCATAGTAAGGCACACTTCAGCATGCTGTTTCTGTCCTTAACATAAATCTCTGACTAACAAAGAAATGTAGTATGTATACTGGATGTATATATTTATAATAACATTTCTTTGTGTTTTTGATGATAAGCAAAAACGTTTCAACCGAATGATGCACGTTGTACTTCGTGCCAGGCAAATATGCATACAGCGAAGGGAGGTACCTGAATCGAGTACTAACTTACATTGTTTTTATATATTTTTGCAAAGATTGCGATTATCATTAAACATTATAAATGATAACGGTTAGTGGTAATATAATAATTTCACGGGTTAGCTTAGTCATGACTAGTATGTAAACACAATCTATCATATATTTATATATATTTTGATTTTTTTTACATGGTGTCAAATATCCTATTGTCGCTATTCGTCTATGCTCGGCGAGTATCTAAAAGCAAATTTGTAAACACTAGTGCATTTTGCCGTTCTTTTCCCTGACTTGTGACAAAAAAACCGTTCCCGACGATCGCATCACGCGGAACACGAGGCGAACGAGTGTTCGTGCCTCGACTTGCCGCTCGCCTCATCACTCGCACGAATGGTGTAGATGGCGTGCTCGGGCGACGCGACGCTGTGCTGCGCGAAGGCGGGGGGTACGGGCAGCGCGGGTGGATCGCTACTGTGCGGCGGCGCCGCGGGCGTGTGTCAGCTGCTGTACGACAGCGCGCCCAGCGGCAGCTACGGCACCATGACCTACCTGGCGCGCGCCGTCGCCGCGCTGCTCGCGCAGACCATGCCGCACGACTCGCCCATCGAGTGCGCCATCACCTAGGCTGCATACACACGCTCACCTACCCACATAACACACACAAACAACAATGCAAACTCTCCTAACATGCTTGTACTATTAAATCTAATATAATGTAACTTGTTCGGTGGAAATCTTGTAAGCTTTCTTTTTTTGAAGTTTAATAAAACTAATGCCACTGCCATAAAATCTTTAAAGTTATTAATAATTTGTATAAACCTTCGTAATGTTTCGTTTTATACTTCTAAAATTTTCCAAAATTAAATAAATAGTAGCAATTTTGTTATTAGGCGACCATTTTGTGAAGTAATCACTTTTTACAATTTTAATTGCTACATCTTATAATTTAAAAAATATGTTTTTTCATTTGTCTGTTTAAATATAATAAAGTATGGCATTCACATTTTTTTTAAAGTACGGAGAATCAAGCAATTGGTCTTTTTAACATTACCTAGTATATTATTTATCTGTAGCATTTTAAAATTTAAAATTTCGCCATTGTCTAAAATTTAATTTCGATTTAGAAACAAGACCGATTTAGACTTCTATTAATGAATGTACACACTGATTCATATCATAGTGAATAAATTGCTTTTGTTACTTATAGTAGTCGCTTAACTGAGTTCGTTTCTCGTTTCAAATTAAATTAATTTTATTAAAAAACATTCAAATGTTTATTTGGTTATAGGAAACTACACAACACACCACCATAAACAACCTCATTTACTAAGTATTTCCTGTACAATCTCTTTAGAAATTTTGTTAAAAGTGTTATATAATTGACACAGGTGTCTGGCACACTACCAGTATACTGGCTTAGTTTTTTCGTATAAGTTCGTATTCGTAGCTATGACAAATTCAATGACAGACGTAACAAGCTAATGCGCAATACATCTAATTATTAATTACATAATTTACACAATTTCGTTCTATTTGTTGTTTGAGATTTCAATTATTAAAATAATAGTAGTGTTTTTAATGGTAAATACATTGTTTGTTGGTATAATAAATCAACTACATAAAATACATATTATTGCTGTACGTGATATTATTTTTCTATAAATAGTATTTAATAGAACCTATTATAATTATTATAGAGCATAAATAGTTAAGATTATCTTACAATAGTGTCTTGTTGACGACTATAAAGTGTTAATTTCAAATTTTGTTGAAATACAATATATTATTGTCATTAAATCATTTGAGTATTTATTTTTAAAGTTTTATTATTGACTAGCTGAAATTCTTACTTTTCTTATCCCTAGTTCACAGAGTCTCATGCACTATAGATTTAATAAACCTTATTTAGTTTGATTTTTTTTTATAGGGTAGGGTGACAAACGAGCACACAGTCCACCTGATGGTAAGTGGTTGCTGTGGCCCATAGATATCTACATCTATCCTCGATTACAAATCAAAATGCAGATGCGTTGTCACTCGTGAGGACTGAGATGGAATGCCTTGTTTCCAGTAAAAATGGTCTCCGATTCTCTACACTCACCATACGAAACACAGCAGCATTAAGCTACTATTTCACGTTGGTATTCTGTGAGAGCGTGGCCCTTCCCTGGTCGAGCCGACCCATTCGTGCTACAACTATACTACTAATATGACTGCAGCATGGCTCTACCACGTATAAAAAATGATTGTTGATATGTTCAAAAGATGAAAGCATGAAACTGTCGTGTCTTACTATTATAAATTCATTAACCTTTGTGTATAATTAAATGGTTAAACGAACTTACCTTAAGTGAAGTTCAACCATAATTATACGAAGCTCCTTGTCCTAGACATTCTTAACAAGTGTAGTACGCCGCATTCCATGCCAGCATCACAATTTATCCAAACTCGCTAAAAGAATTTTTAAAGTAGTATATCTGGCAACACTGTATCAACCCGTCCGAGTACCGTATAGGACAAGGAGCTTCGTATAATTATGGTTGAACTTCACTTAAGGTAAGTTCGTTTAACCATTTAATTATACTCCCTCCTTGTCCTAGACATTCTTAACAATTGTAGATGTTTGAAGACAGGGTTGCGAATTTATAATACCAATTAATGGAAATTTGCAATTTCGCTTATTTTATAAAAAATGTTGAACATATTGCCTGTATAGTAAATTTAAATTAATAACCTAAATAAATTATCGTTATTTCATAACATTTCCTTATACACATAAGGCCAGCTTGATTGCAGCAGAAGTGGCCCTGTGGAAGAATTATGACTGAAAAAGAAAACAATCTGGAATAACTATTCCAGTTTAATTTTAACATCTTATAACTTACTCAAGAATTACTATTTTAAGTGGATTAAATTTATCACTATCTTGTGTTCTGTTTTCTATTAAAATATTCACAAGAAAGGCTCAACCCCTTCTCATTTATTTTTTCCCATGCAAACCCTGTTGAAGTGAAATTCTATCTATATCTTAACTATACATCTGAGCTCCCGTTTGAATAAATGTAATATTTGTTGAAGGACAATGTATATATATTATAACCTATAACTAATCACTGCTCAGCTTGTTACTAGTTTTTGTAAATTTCTGTATTCTCAATATTTATTGCAATATTCTGTAGTTAATAATCTAAAAGTAACTTATTACTAAGTCTATTTTTATAACTCAAACCTAAGTAAAAGGCACAAAAGCCCAGGAAAGAATTTCATTACACTTACTACAATTTGGTACGATAAAGAATTAATTATTTTATTATTTTATAATTTATAGTATTTGACATAGGAGGAGAGTTCACTATAATTATTAGTATGAATTTTGGAGTGAATCTTGGAGTGCCATATTTTACAAAATACTTCACTAATAGTAACCAATGATGTGTATGAGATGTCTATGAGATGACTGTAACATGACACAGGAGTATGATTATCTTTATATAGGCAGTGTTAATAATAATGTGTTATTATATTCAAAATAAATAACTTATTATTTCACATTTACTGCTCATGTGAAAAAAAACTACTTTATAGTTTATAGTGACAGCGCTTTAATGTTAATTCAAAACCTGTCTAACCTCAAAGTGTTAGCTCTAAAAGATCTGAATAGTTAACCGTGTATATCCTTTATGTGATAGCTGTAACGGTTTAAAGCCTGCAGTGATTTCTTCAGAGTCATAGACCATCTTAATGTCTGCCTTCAAGTGGTAATGCTTTCAATTCAAATCTGTCTAACCTCAAAGTGTTAGCTCTAAGATTTGAATATTCAACTGTCTCTATCCTCTATGTTATAGCTCTAACAGTTTAAAGCCTGCAGTGATTTTTTCCGAGCCGTAGTCCATCTTAATGTCTTCATTCAAGTGATATTGCTTTCAATTCAAACCTGTCTAACCTCAAAGTGTTAGCTCTAAGGTTTGAATAGTCAACCGTGTCTATCCGCTATGTGATAGCTCTAACGGTTTAAAGCCTGCAGTGATGTCTTCTGAGTCCTAGCCCATCTTAATATCTTTCCACTAATGATAGCATCTTATATATGAATTAAGACCTGTCTACCTTCTAAGTCATATCGGTAAGGTCTGAATAGTTAACCATGTCTATCCTCATAAATGACAGCTCTAATGTATAGCATTTTAATAACTTATGCTAGATATTCTCTCAACAATTTTAAGTTTACAGTAGTTATTTCTGCCTCTCTGCACCGCTTAATATCTACCAGTAGTATTTTTCGTTCTTATTTTATTATATATACATAATCCATGTATATATTCTAAGTGACAGTTCACGGTCTGTATATAGCATCTATATAATTCCTGTTAGATATTTTTCCCAGCAGTTTTAATTCAATAGTGCTTTTGCATCCCTATCTCCTCAGAATTATACTTTTACTATTTCTTCAATACTGGCCGAAACTACGTGCATGTGAAAAGTGGGAATAGTCTTGCCCAACTTTCAAATCATTGGTATGTTGGTATATTTTGCTACCTTGATGTCCAGTGATCATGTGGGGGTTCTCTTACGTTGACAATTTTTGGACTTCTTTTGCCAAACCCTTGTGAGACTTTCTAGTACTTTTACATCTATAATTTGTAACAAGTTTTTCATTATGTTATACTCATAATATTGAGCCCTTGTAATAAAAACTATACCATTAATTATCTTTATTTGATTGCTTCTAAATCTCAGTACCGCAAAATATTTTCTCATGTGAAAAAAAAAACAAAAACCTATGGTTTTTTGACTCATCGACATTAAGAGGAAATACATAAAAGAAGAATCGTCCCCCAATCTAATATAACTGCCATGGTTTCTGGGTCATGCCTACAGAACCCCATTGGTATATAATAATTTTATTATTTCTCGCTACTAATTTGATCAAGTTTTAGCTTTGACACTGCTTTATGATCTTGTTGAATATACTTGAAAGACTTCCTCTGACTGTTTTTTGTTTACTTGGCTCAATTTTAGATTGTATGTTAAATTTCCATATTTTTATTTAATTTAAAGTATTGAATCCTCAATAGTTAATGAATAGAATCCTCTCTATCTTGTTAATATATGAAGCAGGATTTTTATCAACTCTGGGTAAAATTGTACAACATAAGTATTATTTAGTTGTAGTAAGTTTACTATTCGTTATAACTATATTGTTTTGCTCAAAGTTTTGTATTTTATTCTACCATTCCCAAAAATATAAGCATATATCTATGTAATTTACTCTCAATGAAGGACTAAAACCCAAATTTTTCTCATTCCATTGGTTTCTCTCCATCCAGTTGAGAAGTGTCAATTTATATTTCCGGTTTTATGCGTTCAATATTTTTTTTTGTAATATTATTAACTACCATCTAAGGTCAGAAATTTGAATATATATTACATAACATTATTATATATAATAAGGTTTTAAGCACAACATTATTAAACTCATTTTACTAATAGCAACCAAAATGGGTTATGCACAATATATCTAGTCACTATTTATATCAGTATTTTTACATAATTCCCTCTTACTACAATTTATTTTGTTGCTAACATATTTTGGCAATCAGTGTATGCATCTGTCAGCATAACTCTAT